AATTTCAAGCTGAACTATAAACTATCATAAACTATTGAAGACAATTATTGCATTTAATCATGCCAATTATTCTTAACTTTTATATAAATCAAATCGAAGATGCAGCTTTTTTCTTTGATTAACTTGACCAAGCCAATTCCCAATTATACATTACTCATACGCCGCATTGTCCGCCACGCAATTCATCAGGGCGTGTAACCAGCGTCCGTATTTATATAGAAGATCTGGATATATATATATATGTATATCCCCCTGGTCGCCCGACTTGATTGAGCCGCGTTGGCCAAATCACGTTGCAATTGCCACAGACGGAGCTGAAGAGCAAACGAGAGGAGAAACGAGACTCATTAGACCGAAGCGTGATGCGTGACACCAACTTTAAATTGTGCAAAGACGAGCGTCCTCCGCATCCTTGATCCTCTCGCCCACGACCGACCACCAACCATTTCCCATTTCCATCACATTGCAGCGTAATCTTGGCCATTACTCAAAAAGTAGCTTTGCACGTAGCCTGCGACTGAAAAGGGACCGCGGGAAAATAAAGGCAGAGAAAAATCTGAGATTTATATTCCAATTTTTAAGTCAAGTATTTAATTTATAAATTACAATCAAATAAATTTGATTCTTAAAATTGTTGTACTTTAATGCAGGGTAATAAAAATACTACAAAAATTTATTAAAAGTGTGTTAGTAATCTTATTGAATTGGGTAATAAAACAAATTTAAACAAAAATCAGTGGAAAAACTAAGTTGAAAAATTCTCTCCCTAACTTCTTATGTACTTAACTTCAAATTTCGCATGATATAAACAGTTTCTTAATAAATAAAATGCAAATTAATTTGCCAAATTTGAAGAATTTTCCGAAATTACATATTTTATGCTGGTGTAGCCTGGATCTGTGGGTGACATTCGTAGTCTGTTTGTGTTTGTATCGCCGTTTTGTCCAACAGCACCTTCCCCTATTGTCCACCCTCCCAGTGGCCCCTCCCCCTCGGCCTAGCGCCTCTGTCATTGCCACTGTCGCCTTTGAAATCAGATTCCACTGGAGCTCCCCTGTGCCTTCCCTAATGGCTTTGTTATGCTAATTTCATGACGCCTGCTGGCCATTGGAGTCGGCTTTTGCCCCTCGGCCCAGCCGGCTTTTGATGCTGTTTCTTATTAATTTAATTATAAATATTATTCTTTTTTCCGGTTGTTGTTTTTTGGTGGCAATTGTTTTCGCACGAGGAAATGGAAAAATTTTAAATGTTCACATTTGCAGCGCAATTTTAAAGTTTTTTGTTGGACAAAGATTTCTAATTTTAGTAAAGTGTGCACTAGAAAAAAATTTAACATAATTTGTATCTTTATTCATTGAAATGAAATAATTTAATTTGATATTTATGTAAGTGTAAAACTTATTTTATAGAGTTACTTTGAATCATTTTCAAAAACACCAAAATTTCTTTTATTAACTTAAAAATACGAAAATATAGGCAATGCATTGCTATGTTTTTCCAAGTTCTTTATTCTGTGGCTTTTACCATTTACTTTTTGTGAACCAGATGCGTTTATTTACTGTTGGTTTTTCCTATTTTCCTTTACGTAATAGTGCTGGCAAAAAAGTGAAACTCTGTCATTTGGTGAAAGGGACTTAGCTGGAAAGCCTTTCATAAGCATCGCATAAATTCTTTGTCAATTGTGGCAAATTCTTAGCCATCCAGATGGTCAGTCGTCCTGGTCTGTATTTTTCTCTCTTTCTTTTCTGCTCTATCTCTTCCTTTCTAATTGTGCCATATGTATGTTTGTGAAGTCTTCAAATTGTAACTAGAATTTGATTGTGCTGAGGCATAGGAGTGCATTGATTGGATTAGCTCTGTAAGAGACGATTGCATGTGGCCATAAATGTAATGCAAGACCTTTAAGCCTTGATAATCTCTGGATGTTGATGGTTAAAACGTATTGAGGTAATTGAGGAATATCTTTACAAGCGGTTTTAGGATTTAGTTTAGAGCAAAACAATACGTAAAACAAAAATTGCTTATTCAAAATTTTAAAACAAATATAAAAGTAGTGCTTAAGCTAATTGAACAAATGCAAAAAAAAAGTTGTTAATAGTTAGAAGGCATTCCTTTTATTATTTTTCTGTTTAAAAGCAAATTAGAGTATTCTTGTTCCAAGTGTTTTTACAGATTTTATGTTTTGTGCTTACCCAAGTATTCCCCGGGAAGTCGCTCATTCAATGTTTCTTCTGTGGAGCGTCTTCTATTGTTGTTTGCCCGTCTTTCTTCCGCTTTTCTTTTTTATTTTTTCCTGTTCTATGGCCTTGGTTGGCCCTATTTGCAGGCATGTGGCTTAGAAATGGCTTACAAGCTGGCTGCCTGTTTTTTCCTGGATCCCCTTCTGACCCGTGAGATGGCTGGTGATGCAACCGATTATCTTCCGACCTTCCTGCCTTTCCTTCCTTGCCTCTGGTTATTACCCTTGCAGCTCCGCAACAGCCCTGTTCATGATTTCCAGCTGCCTTTAACTGCATTCTTAAGCTCAATCAAACAGGAAGTTGGGCAAATGTGCATTGAGTTAACTGAGCGATATTCGTGTTTTTGTGGATCCTTGGACAAAAAAAAAACAGCAGCAGAGTTTTATAATTAAAATTCCCTGAGAGCGGAATGCCTTTTAGGTGCATTCCCTTACAGAATTTAAATGTCGTTTTACCAGAACGGTTGCGTGTGTGCGCTCGGCATTCAAGTGAAACTTTAGACATAAAAGCCAGACCCCTTGAAACCCATTTTTTCTGTGTCCACCCTTTCGGGCTTTATTGTTGTTGCCTGGCTCTGGCTAAAACCAGGCAGACATTTGGACCTAACTACTTGAAGTTTTATGCCCCTTTTCTTTACTTCTTTTTCCCTTTTTTTTGCCTGCCACATGGGAGGACTTTATGGCGCATACGTGTGGGTTCCTCTGGGCGCATATTGAAAACTCAGCATTGTTATGACTTTGAAACACACTGAGGGCGAAAGCATCTTTTCTCCTCGGCCCTCAACTTAATGGCAGGTGCAAGCAAAAAAAAAAAATGTGTGGCAAAGGAAAAAAAGGCGAGCACAAATAAAACTGTTATCGGTCTGCGTGCTCAAAAGCGCACTTGATTGCTCAAATCCTTTGTGTATCCCCTTTTAAGCCTTTTGTTTTCCATTATGCGCCGGAAGTGTTGCAAACACTTCAGTGCAGGACACAAGCCGAAGCCACAGCAACAATAACAGTAGCCCGAGAAGAACTAAAAGGGCAAGGAAAGTCCAAGTCCAAGACAGCGTCTCGAGCGGCACTTCTTTCTACACAAAAAAGAACTAAGCTGGTGGTTAAAAAAGTATTTAAGACAAAAAAAAAAAAAAAAAAAAGAAAAGTTCATGACTGTTTTAAAAAGACTCCTAAAAATTTTATATTACATTAGGGATCACTAGAATATAAAAAAAAAATATTATTTTTATTATATTTATTATATTAATATTAATATATATTCAAACATATTTTCTTAAGGGATAATTTCACCCATATTTTCGATTTCTTTTCGAGCCTAACTATTTTGTATTCTCGTCAACACATTTATAAATTTTGAAAAATAAAATTTAATTCTCTTCGTGTATATGTAGATTTGACGACATTTTTAATACAAATAAAGCAGGAAGAAGGCACACGGAAATAAAGCATAATAATGTGGCATGACAATCAAGCGGCCGAGGAAAGGGGGGAGTGGCGGGGAAAGGCGACGCGTGCCAAACGGGAAAACACTCATAACGCTCGGCTCCCCACTTTCCAGCCCCCCTTTTCTTCTGAGTCGGACCCTCGTGGCTTTCTCCTGTCAATATGTTTCCCGCTCGACTTGTGCTATAATTGTGCCATCCCTCTCCGGAACACTTGCCATATTGTCGCATGCCGTATGTCGTGTGTGTGTGTGTGTGTGTGTGTTTGTCATCGGGGGTTAAGGAATGGAGATAATGCCAACCGGGACACTTTCAGTTACTTAGCCCAAGAAGCGTGGGGAGCGTCTGCTGCTCAGGGACTGAAGCCCTGAATCCGAGAGTTCGCTTTCCTTCTTTGTTATCGTTATTTTACAAACTTACAAGTGGCCAACGAAAAGTATCCCAACTGAAGTTAAAATAATTAGCTGGAGGGCTAAGCTGAAATTGCAGAAAAATGAGAACGCCACAAGGGGCAGCTCGAACAGATGAAAGGAGAAAGTCGATTTGCAGGAGTAGGAGAAATGAGAAAGAATTTAAAACAAAGCCAGGTTAGGGAATACTTTCGTATTTCAAAATGTTGCGAAGGGTGAAGCAAAGTAGATTTAAACGCCATTTAAGTTTGTAAAAACTTAGTAGAAAAACAATGTAATTAAATAATAAATAATTTCTAGTTATGATTTACCGGCAGCATATGCAAATAAACAAAATGCAAGTCCGAAAATCTTTATCTGTCAGTTTTATATATTTTAATTTAGAAAATTCAATTTTGTGCCATTGCTGTTAAGGACTTTAGTATGTTTCAGTTGTGTAGGTGGATGAAGTCCTATTAAATTTTAAGGAAAAACAGTAATGTGATATTAAGATTTAAAATTTTAAAAAACCTTTCGTTTGGTTTATTTATGCCCATGAACAAATTGGTTTATTTTGTACTTTAAAGCAAACAAGTTTCTCAGTAATTTGGCGTTCTATTAAATATTTCCGCATGAAATGTGGGCTTCATAGCTTGACCCTTAAATGCCGAATAAGTGAACTTTATAAGTTAAAGAGTAAATACTCCCAACTCCAGCTATTTGCCCTTCGTTTGCTTTCTGATCTGAAAAGACAGCCCCTCTGCCTGTTCAAATTCGCCCCACTCATCCGGGTCAGCTGGCGGTCGTTTCCTCCGACTCACCGCCGGCTCATTTTCCGGTTGACGGGAGCACTTTGATTCCAGCACATCACCTGACAATTTGTTGACTTAACTAATCCCCCGCCCCATCCGCTTTCCCGCTTTCCACTTACAGATGCCCAGGATGGGGAGACGTCACAAACACTGCCATCATCGGTTGTGCGGTTCATCTTCATCTCCGTTGCAGCGGCTGGTGGAGCTGCAGCTGCTCCTTCCAGCTTTGTTGGTCGTCCTGCTGGCCACCACCCTCGGCCTCGCCTGCCGCGTCTCCGAGTTCTCCTGCAAGGGAAGCGGCAACAGCGGCAACATCTGCGTGCCCCTGGACAAATACTGCGACGGACGCAGCGATTGCGCCGATGGCAGCGATGAGCCCAAACATTGCTCCGGTGAGTGAGTGCCGCCAGCTGTTGTTGCCCCTTCTCGGCGAAGGGGTTCACAAATAGTACAGTAAACAGTCGAAAGAACGATCCGAATCACGTTGAAACAACTAAATTATTAATTAATTTACAGCAAATATTTGACTATACATTTTAAAAGAATTTTGAAGTAAAACCATTTAAGGTAATAAAAAAGTAATATTTTCCTTACAATAGGTTTTTAAAAACAAAAATCTTTATAGAATTATTTGCTCGATCGTTTACTGTAGTTTACTTTAGTGCGCCTCCAACTCACATTCTGATTTATTTGTCTCCTCCGACAGTCTGCAATCGTACATATTATGGCGATATCGGACGCACCTATGCTATAAAAGTGCCAACGCCACAGTGGAATAAATTGCCTTTCCTCTGTCACTTGACATTCACAGCATCCGGTCATGATCAAGGCGACATTGTACAGGTGAGTAAAGCGGGACGAAGGTTTAATGGTAGGGATGGGAACACCGAGGCTCTTGTACCTAAATTAATATAGATTTATTTGATTTGAATCCTTTCTACATTCAAAACGTTTTAAGTAGAACTACACAAAACACTGACAGTGAAAATAATAAATTGTAATTGTAATAAGGACAAGCCAATGAGTTGTTTAAGATATATCTTCTTCCTCTATATTTTCTTGATGATATATAAATGGATTTGATACAAGGATCTGCGGAACTCGATAGGGATAAATAACTGTTGAGTTTTTACTAGGGTTATTGTATGATATTAAATCAATCATACATTTTCATAGATATCTTTATTTAAATAAACGGCTTACAAAATATCAATTAAAAACAAGGTTTTTTTCTTAGATTAAAAATAAGTGCCACATTAAACATAGAATATTTTTAAATAAAGTTAATCTAGTAATTCTTTAGGTTGCACTAAAATTGAAATCACTTTACTTTAGCCAGAAAGCACCTTAGTTGGGTAAAAAACAGTGGAATATTTCTCACCACTGGTGCCAAATGCGTTGCTGGTGCCGAATCAGTGGAGTGTTTGCCTGTTTCGTATTGTTGTCCACAGTTCACTGTCCGTTGTTCGTTTGTTGGCTTTAGTGCGCTGTAGGCCAAAGATTAGCCGTGCGTCAGCGAAATAAAAGTGCAATGCACACACACAAACACACGCACGCAAGTGTTCTCGAGGGCCAAAAAAGAGAGGTCCTGCAAGAGGAGTGCACTCTAACGAGAACCTACACACAAACACGCACACTGGACACGCACACACAAGCAGGAGACAGCGACACGCACAAATGCACCGCCGTGAAATATTCCGAGACACATCCCCCGTTTTCAACAATGGCCACCCGAATCGTACATATCCCATGAGCAGCTGTTCGTGCCTGCCATCCGGACAAGGTATATGGGTTTTGTCTCGTAAAACATCGGTCTTCTGAGGACTACGGACTATTTCACACCCTTGGTTTTACATAAAATGGGAGTTACTTTTCGTAAAATAATGCCTACAAATAGAGGGAACTTTTTGCATTAAATTGGTAAACTAAACCGTACTGTTAGTCCTGCATTTAATTATTAATTTCATTAAATGTTGGTATCGCACTCCAACAACTCAGGTTTCACTGAAATAAGAACAACAAATGATATGCTTTAATAATATATTTATTTATATTTGTTTGTAATTCATCAAGTTTTTAAACGATTGGCACTCGCAGCTAAATAAAAATATTTACATAAATAATATTATTTTCCAATAAAGTGACTCGGCTCAAAAAAGTTACAATTTCATTCAGCATGGTCAATTTTGAAGGGTAAGGATGTTTTATATCTAAAGTATTTGTATTCAAATGCTTTGTAATAATATATAATTGGTTGATAATTGTTTTCAAGTAACCCATACATAGGCAAACAAAAAAAAAAAAAATTGTGGACGTTTTCAATTCAGAGACAGCAACAGAAAACCAATGTCATATTGGACTATGTATCCCGGGGTATGTCGAAACGTATATATCCCAATTCTGGCTGTCGCCACACTCCGTTCGTGCTTGTTAGGTAAAATGTCTCCATTTCTCGCCTTGGCGGCATATCTCCTGACATTTTTGGGGGCTCTGGCATTTGGTGCGTGCTTAATTAGGACTCCCAGCGATTGCAGTTGAATCCCAGCCAGTCCGTGCGCGTTTTAAACGGAAGGCAGCGCTTTAAAACGCCTTCGGGGACATAGAAAAAGACGGAAAAATAGGAGAGCTAAGTGATGCAATGGGGCCAGATAGAGAAATAGGCAAACAAATCGGGCAGCTTTGGAGGAGTGGAACCGCCCACGTTGACAATGAAATTAGACACGCTTCAAAACATTTTTGGTGAGCTGTCAGAGAAACGTCAATTTCAATTTCGAAAATAATTGATTTCCCCAGCAATTTGCGTAAACATCGCAATGAGCAGTTGAGTCCCAGGAAGTGGTAGTCAGCAAATCTGTTCTCCTGCTCCAGTGCCACCCCATTTGCTCCTTAAATTTCTCCAATTCGCCTGGGAGTCTCGCACGTATACATATATTTGAATAAGTATGCGGGATGATATATGCAAAATGTTCCTTCGTGGGCTTTGCACCTTGCACAAATCTGTCATGCGTAAGTTATAACTTTTTATTTTGTGGTTCCGAATTTGTAAAACATTTTTTATAGAACCTGTGTGCACATGGAAAAAAGTTTAAAATCTATATTTAATTACAACGAAATTATATTTAACTATACACTGCCAATGATGTGGTTATCATTTCTATTCCAATTTATAGATGTAATTATATTTAGAGCAGTAGTTGCATTAGTTTAATTTTTAACTCAGCGCTAAGAATAAATCTATAAATCTTTTAGTTGAATAATACAAATAATTATTTAAATATATAATGATTTTTCATATTATTATGTATGTGGGAAGACAAATCGTCGAAGAAATAGTTTGTCTTTCAGTGCACATATCCTTTTTCACCTCTTCATCGTAGCATATAAATCATGCGGTTGGCTTTCCGAGGCTTCACTCGGTTTTCCCGCTTTCCCTTCGATTTTATATGTATTTTTTTTGCGCTTCTCACTCGGGTGCGTCTGTGTGGGAAATTGCTTGAAATAATAATGTTAGACATTGGCGCGGACGAGGACCAGGGAGACGTTGTTGTTGCTGCTGTCTGTTTGTACATATTGATTGATGATTGTCAGCCAGAATCCCAGACCTTCGTAGATGGGAGAAGTTTAAATTGCCTGGGACTACGCCATATACCCATGGGCTAATTTTTAATGGAAATACCTTAACCCGAACTCCGCAATATGTTTGCTTTAATCAAATAGCCGATGGCGCAATCTTTTTTCGTAATTAAAGCTTGTTTTTCACGCCCTCTAATGGAGGGGAAAATTTATGCTACAAATCAACCAAAAGGAAATCTTTTTTTTACCAAAAATGCAGACAGTATTTCGCATAAATCAAACAATTTTTTTATTATTATTAATAATTTTAGCTTGGTTTACCCACATTTATTGTATTTTTTTAACCCGTTTATTTATTTTTGCTTTTTAATTTCTATATATTGGTAACTTTGTAAATAAGTTTATATAGCAGTTTTTCAATGTGAGCTTTTGATTTTCTGAATAAAAAAATCTATATTTTTACGCGCTTAATATTATTTTGCCAGTAAGAATGAAATTGATATTGCTCTTTTATGGAATGTTCGGCTGACTATCGTTGATGGAATTTGTTTAGATTTTTTGGCATTTTTGTGGACGAGTTCATAATGGATTTATTGTGTTGAAAATTATAAATGAACACCTAATTTACTGCCACAAGCAAATCAAAAATGAAACGGGTTGACACCACTAGCATTTAGAATTTCTATTAAAGCCCGAATGAAAAGTTTTCCACTTTGTCACGTCGCAGAACAAAAAACTTTGGAAGGAAAAAACCATAAAACATGAGAGAGAACTCCTTAAAAAGCATACACTACACATAAATTATACTTCTTCATTTGCCCAGGAGAATTGCCTGGGCAAAAAAGTACATGTTGAAGTCCAAGGCAAACTTGCAAATGCAAAAGTTTTTCAGAATTGTCCCCTCTGTCGTCCAGTCGTCGCTTCTAATGAAGCCACAAATGCCAAGTGCGATGTGGAATTCCCTCCCTCATTTTCTTCGCTGTCACTTTTGCCTTTGTTTAATATTTCAAATTGGAAGTGAAAATCTCTTCGTGTGCGTAGGTGTTTGAAAACTCAGCTAAATGAAAAGCAAGTGGCAGCCAACTGAAACCCGAGGCTGAACCCTTTTATTGGAGCTTTCTTTCCAATTTTCGACACACACTCTCCGGCAGGCATTTATTTGCATATTTTATTAAGAAAAATACATGTGCCCGAGTGCGAGTACGAGTACATAATGTACATATTGCATACAGGATTAGATACTTGACTTTCTGCCTCACAACTTCCTCGCTTTGACCTTGACTTGACTCCAATGTAAAAAGGCAGTGTGAGTGGTGTGTTTACTTTTTTATGGCCAATCAAATATGCAAACAGTGGGCGGGTACAATGAGGCGTTGTGTGGTCCTTTACATTTTTCGCAAATGGAATTTCATTTGCATAACTCTAAGCAAATATAAAATATAGTTTTAATACCCTGGGAAGACGGGCTAAACTGGGCTTTACAGGATTTCGAATGTGCTTTAGAAAGTGACTCCGCAACAAGAATGTGTCTTGAAAAGTATAAGAGCTTAAAAGATAATTTTATTAAAATTCTATTTATTCAGCTTTAAACAAGAAGGTATCATAATTGTCCTTTAATATAAGCTAAATGTTTTAGAAAAGGATTAAAAAAATTAATTAAAAAAATATTGCCTAATTATAATGTATTTTTTTTTAATACGTAATCAAAAATGAAAATACTGCAACTTTAAAGAATTTTAATGTGTTATTTTTTAACAGTATTTTACTTTAAGGGTGAAAATATAAGTTGACAGAGCCAATCCTTTAATAGAAAAATTACCTATGTATTTTAGGGATGCCTCAATAAAAATATAATATATATATTTAAATTTACCTTTTTCTATTTCAGATCATCTTTGATGGCTTTACGGTAGGCAGGTTCGACGAGGGCATGGTCGATACGGATGTGGATGGTTACGAAACGAACCTAAGTCCCACGGGCGAGTTGCCCGGCTGTCCCGAGGGCTTCATGCAGGTGAGGAGCTGGAATTTCATTTATTAAAATTCATGTTACGTGATAATAAAAATAGTTTGCGGGAAATTGTGACCGGGAGTTTGCAGTCCATTTACTTGCATTGGGTTGGCTATAATTTCATGCCCAAGTGGGCGGCGATGGGCGGCATGGGGCGTAGAATCCGGGCGAGGACTTTGGCCTGTCATCGTTGGTAGCTTTCGTCCTCGTCGACGTCGCCGTCGTCATCGTCGTCGCAGTTCGATTCAATCAATGTCCGAGTAATTCTGTAATTTTCTGTTTGGTTCTCTGTTGACAAATACCACATTAGCCCGGCAAATTGAATTGAATGGTGGGCCTGTGTGCGTGCTCGTCCCGATATCCGTATTTGTATGTCTGTGTGGGGATGTACTGACGATCCTGGGATTGGGAGCTTGAGTGCTGTTAGTGTTGTTGGGTCATATACATTTGGCCCTTCTCTTGGCCAAAAAGGAAAACTATTTAACATGTACTCGGGCTCTGTGTGCGTGGTGTATATTTTTATCGCAAATTTTGCGTGCACATTCGGGGGTAGTTTGTTCTGTACTTCTATGTTCTCGTCCTTGTAATGCTAAAACCAAAATCCTGGCTAAATAAAATGTACGAAAAAGCTCACTAAATCCCTGTAATTGACTTGTGCAATATGTTTGAACGTTTCGTATCTGCAGCCGCTTGTGTCTCAGTTTTTGTTTCAGTATTCCTATCTGCATCTGTATCTTTATGTCGGTTTCGGGTTGACTGGCCCTGCTTAAATCGCCTTTTGATAAATCCCAGACTGACTGCTCGTTTTCCTTCCTGCTCCTCTGGATACCTTAAGCTGTTTTAATTTGAGGATTTAATAATATATTCGCACCGAAGCGTTAAAATGCAAATGGTGAAAGAGATGTGTAAGTTCACTTAATCTTCAGCTTTAAACAGATTCAGGAAAACGAAGTTGGCCAGCACATATGGTTGCTTTAATTAAATGGAAATCCCTGGGAATCTTTTAGAATTTTAAAGAACGTTTGAAGGACAATGAAATAATTAAAATTTCATTATTGTTAGACTTTTATTTATTTTAAAGTTACGCATATTCGTTTTGAAGTAAATAATATTTAAAGCAATTTATTATTATCATATTTAATAAAAAATAATTTGGCTGTTATTGCATAAATTACTAAAAAAAAAATTTGTTTGGTAAAAGTTCGATTACATGGCTGACAAACTGATTATAAATAAATACTAATAAGGCATCAACAATGCAAATGAGTTTTTTTCATTTAACAATAATAAATTGGCCATAAATAAAATAAATTTGCTTGCTTTCATTTGAAAATGCTCTTGGGGCATTTAAAATGCCCCCTTTGTTCCATTTCCCAGCGCTCTCACGTAATCTCTCCCTTTTCCCGGCGACTACAGATTTTCATTGGATCCATTTCCCTCCGCTAACTAGGAAGAACTCGGTTCGTACACTGTCGGACTGTTGGAAAACCATAAACCTCTATTAGTTTAGCTCCGTAGGCCCTCCAAACCCTTCACTTTTCCCGCCGGCATTCTACTATATATCTACCCGTCGCTTTGTGCAACAATAAATTTTAACAAGCGTGGGGCGTGCGCTGACATTTTGCGGTGCGCGTCGCCGAAAAACTGAAAAACGGGCCGAGCTGGACTTCGGGATAGGGAATAGCCATCCAGTGCAAACGCTGGCACTCCTGTCCTGTCCTGTTGAGGTTTCATTTGGCGCTTGACATGTGTACGGAGTTGAGGGATTTCCGCAAAGGACGAAGGACGAGGGGTGATCCTGGGCTAACAGGCATGCCCCTATTTTTTCCTGCCGCTGCATTTTCCGGCAGCAGCGGCTTTTATACGCTTGCAGAGCGTAATTTTGTTAGTGCATTTTAAGGCCAGAAATAAGCTTGTTTAGAAAAATTATTTAATAAGAGGTCAACTTCAAAAAAAATATGGTATAATTTGTGTCATAGAACAAAATCCTTATGGAAAAATACAAAAGTTATTCAAAATAATATTTATTTTTGTTTCTTGTATAAGAATAATATTTTTGGACTAAAAAATGGAGTCAATAGAGTCAATCAAAACAAACGCAATTCGAAATCCAGTCTTAAATAAATACATAAAGTGAGGAAAATTGAATTTAGACCACAAGGGTATTCCGAATTTCGTAACGCAAAACTGTTATTTATTTTTGTTCTTTTTTTTTGGATATTTGGCCTTCCTTTTTCGGTTCTTAAATGCAGTTAAATATTTTCAATTTTTTTTCGCCGCTGCTCGTGCATTGTTGCAGTCGTTGCAGTTCTATATAGACTCGTAACTAACCGCAGGTTTGTGTTGTGCTTTCCCCCTTCAAAATCTCCGTTTCCATCGAAGCTGGTTGTTTTTTTTCCCCGGCAAAGGCAATTTTAACTGCTGACGCGGTTTTGTAAAGCCCCCTCCTCGCCCACCGATCTGTATAAATAATGCGTGTCATGGCCTGGCCACATAAATTCTTGACCGAAACGGAAAATTTATATCCGCTGCCTTTGCCACATATAGGTTTATATATGATTTACCCGGGTTCAGGCCCAGCACCCCGTGTCGAGTCTGAAGTTTCGGTTTAATCATTTATTCAATTTAGTTGGACATTCTGTCTCATGCATTTTGTAACAGGCCAAAAGGGGAGCGAAACTGGGCTGTCCTTATCTTGACCTTTTCGAAATTATTTTTAATAATTCAGCAAACAATCTTTGGCCAACAGTGGAAACTTCTTAAGTCAAGTACAGTTTTAATTTTCTAATGCAAATTTGTATAAAACAATACAATCAATAAATTACTAAGAGATAATTAACAATTTTCAAAGGTATTTGAATAAAACAAAAGGAAAACCTACCTATGGATTATGGCACATGCTGCACTTATCGTAAAAGCTTTACTATATTTTGAGTTAGCTTTACAAGGTATTTTGTAAGTCTTATCCTGAGAAAACTCTCTCTGAACCTTTTGTATATTTGCTAATAATGCTAATCATAAATAATAAAGTTTATGCATAAACGTATTAGCCTAAATCAACAGAGACAACAAAAGCAGGAGATAGGCGGAGGATGAGGCTGTTATCCTTGAGTGTCCTTGCGAGAACAGCTTGAGCAAATGACTCAATATTTGGCAATCATAACATCCCTAGTCCTGACCCTCCTGTTTCCTGCTTCCAAGAAGGAAGGAAGCAGCTTGGTCCTGCTTCAGTTTGTCAATAGTTTTTATTGGACTAAGTGTAAACGTACATATATATAGATAATGCATATAGATTGTTTAACAACTTTTGCCTTGGCCAAGCTCATAACTCAACGTTGACCGCAGGAAATTAGGGGAATCTACGAGTTTTACTGTGAAGATGACTACCAAGTTAAGAATAATTTCTTCGGTTATTTATTGGCTTACCCCTGTGTCCTAAAAATTAAATAAATTATTTGTTATTTGGCAAATGCTTTAAATCGCTATAAATCAAAAAGAAAGCGGAGACATTTGAACAGAGCTGGTATGATGCGCTTAAATTGTTTCACAATTAAGTTCAAATACCCACTGCAACGAAAAGAGAAATTGGATAGGGGAAATGCTGTGGTGGAATACAGACAAGCGGCAGCTTTTGTTTATTGCTGGCAGATTATGAAGCGAGAAGGATTCTGCGGATGCCAGTACATCAACAACGCTGATAAAACTTTTTTCGCACTCAGTGTGTACAATGTGTGTGCATATGGGCGAATCCCCCAGACCCGAACAATGTATTCCCAATGGTTTTGCATTAATGGTCTTAAAGGAATTGTAGATAATAGATGATGGTGGAAAATCTGAGCTTATTGCTTATCTACTTATTTTTTTTTTACCATAACACAGGAATCTACTTACTTCTGTTACTCAAATCTATTTTAATATCCCTTTTTGATTAGTTTCTTTGGCTTAATTTATTTGTTTCTTTGCCTCATTTACTTCATTTCTGTTTTCATTATAAATTTGAAATAGACTTCCATGCTCAACTTCCAATTAAACCCAAAATTTGAAGACCAACATGTGACTATTCCGACTGGCATGTGTTCAAATGTTTGGCCAAAAACCCGGGTCCTTATTAGCCTTGGCCTAATCAAAGAATATTCCTTTAAAGTTTAACCCAGAGGCTGTGGCAGCCCAAAAAATAGCTTGCTACAATAATAATTCAATCAATTTAAAACTAACACAAAACGAGGCAGAAAAAGCAAGAGAAGATAGGCCAAAGACGAAAAAGAGGGCAAAAAGGGGAGGAGGGTAAAAAGGACACACACACACACACACAAGGACCAAGGTCCAATGATTCGTTATGAAGTCGATGCTAATAACGCTCCAATGCACACAATGGACATGATGACGATGATGAAGAGGAACGATCAATGGGGTAAGATGCAGGGAGATGCTAAAGAGGGGAAAAAGACAGTACACTCAAAAAATAGGTTAAGATTAAAACGGTGTTCAAATTATGTCCAAAAAAATATAAGGAACTATACTCATTATTTAGATACTGGCGAAATTGTACTACAAGTTTTAAATGCAAATGTTAATATTTAAACAGTTAATCAATTAAATTCTTTAGGATTACATTATAGGAAATTATAATTATAATCTTTTAATTTTTAAAATAACTTTTGTAAGCCATTTATTTAAATATATGTTAATTAAAATGCGCTTTTTCAAAATAAACTTGAGTGAAATAAAAATAAATTCCAAAGTTCTAAGTCCTTTTCTTTCCCATTAAGATTGTGAACACATTAGATAAATGATTTTTGAGTGTAAGGAGGAGAGGCCTGTGACCAGGACTCGTGCAGAGTTCGCAATGAATTTACACAAAATCGAAATCAGAAAATTACCATTATGCCAGGCAGTCAAGCCTGCCTACTGCTCCCTGTGTCCTGCCAGGACCCTCTGCCCGATTCCCTATCCCAATCCCAATCCCAATCCACTATTCATCCTGCCGACGAGATAGAGCAGGATGGTCGACGGACTTGCCCTGGTCATTCAATATGACAGCAGCAATGGACCGACAGGACTGGCCAGTGCAACTGCAACTCTAACCAGTTACAAATATTGGCCAGACCTCGATTGGCGACTTTGCAATTACAGCAAAAATTGTTGTTTGAGTTCGAGGCAACCGGGGGGCCAGGCAGGCAGGACCAGGACATGTCCGGGGCAAAAAGGACACAGTGGGCGCCTGGGGCCGGACTCATCGGTCGTCGGTTCAGTTCAAATAACCCATTAACTAAAAACTTAATCAATTGGAACCCCAGTGTAAATGAGCTGCCGTTGCCGTTGCCATTTTCCAATCCCCACATTTATCGACTGGTGGCCACTGACCTAGGCCGCAGGCTGCAACGAAAAAAAATATAAAGTACTGAAAAGCGGACCCGACCGGCAGTGTCCTCGTCGTGCTGGTATTAGCAATATTAATGCTGCCTATGCAAGCAGGCTCAATAAATGTCACTTGTCCTGCCCCGAATGGGCAAAAGATTTGTATGATTTTGTGGTGTACGCTGGGCATTCACAGTTCGGGAAATGGTCTAGACATAAGACGGAATCCTGAACCTCTAAGTCTAAAATAGAAATATAAATAGTTTTAAGATTGTAGGCAAATAAAAAATAGAATATCATTAACTTTTGTAAAAAAAGGGAGAGCTAAATCCATAAAAAAACACACTTAATAAAGTTTGATCATGAAACTGTTCTAATTTTTTAATACTTTTTTATAACATATTAAAGTGCATAAATTCCAGATAAGAAAACTCGTAACTTAAGAATTGTGTATTAAATTTAACTGGTGAAGAAAAATTAAAATTTATTTTGAGAGTATAAGTTTTTCAAAAAAAAACCTTAATGGTCCAATCCAAATTTTATTTCCATGGTGTACAATTAATTTAAAAACTAAAATTTGAAATTTATTTTAAATGCATGCTTCATAACATTTTTTGACACCCTCTGCAAGGGTATAATAATCTTTTTATAGTCAGTTTTAAAACTCATTTCAGTAGCCATAACTTTTGCTAACAAAATTTAGTTAGTGACTGTAATTTTGTTCTATACATAAGAATACGGGAGCTCCATAAACTTAAAGTAAGAGCATGTCTTAGGAATTCAATGTGCTTGAACAATTCAGGAACTTAATAAATGCTTGATGTTCAGAGAGGGTATTTCACAGCCCATTATTTTTGTCCCCATTTAAGGATCGACCACTTTTTTAAACTCTTTCAATATTTTAAACGTCATACGTTTGGCCAGCCTTAGGCTTCTCTTTTTTGGTCGCAATGCAAATACATTTATGGGGCAGCACTTGCAGGTGGAATTTCCATGGCAGTTTCAGCTGCTGGTCGCACACCTTCGACGATTGCCAACGGTTTTTCGCATGCATAAAACACTGCGCCAAATGTGGAATACAGTCCGTTTTGGTAACGCTGCCAAGTGCCACGTTGCGTTGCGGGAAAAAGCAGGGAAAACAATCAAATATTGAGCGCAGAGGTAGCCGGGAAAATGCAAAAAATAAAATAACACTGCACAACACACGCACTCATAATCCATTAGCACAACGCCAGATGGCCACCCTGTAACGTGCGTTTGTTAATTTTTCATGCGTTTTTCACTTACCCAGTGTGCCAATAAAATCAATAAGGGTGTACGAACTCTATAACTTAACCCAATTTTTTAATGCGCCTGCGATTGTGTGTTTGTGTGTTTGAGCGTTTGTGTATGTGTGTTTCTGCGTGTGTGTATGTGCGGCTTTAAATGTTTTCATCGCAGCATTTTTGCCGAGCTGTGCGAAATTGCTTTTAGCCTTTCTGTTTGGTTGTCTGTGGGCGTGTCACCAGCGAAACAAACTTGATTTTTAATTAATTAAATTTTTATTTATTTACTTGGCAGCTCAGCGAATTGGGACGCCCATTCACCGGCGGCTCCTGGTGCGGCAAGGCCACCGGACCGCAATTGTACTTTAGCGAAACATCCACGGTGACAGCGTCGGTGAAGGTGAGTGCAAGTGCAAGTGCAAGTGAGAGGGGAGACTGCGGGAAAGGGACGGAGCGCTGGGAGCTCTGCTCAGTGAGCGTGCTCAAATTACATACCCTGGCAGTAACCTCAAGCAATTTGGTCTTTCCAGGCGCTAAAAAAGTATTACAAGAAATTCAAAATCTGAAATAAATCCTTTAAGTCATTTTTGTTAATATTTTGAAAAATATTAAAATACGGGTTGCTCAGTATTATTAATAAGTGAAAGTAATTTTTCTTAAATTCAAATAATATATTTTAATAATATATTTAGCAATATTAAAGTTATTTTTTATTAGTAAATAATAATTGTATTCTATTGAATTGTGTGTAAAAACATACAACCCTCACCAGAACGCTTAAGTTTTTCATACTTACTTTGAAGTTACATTTTTAAAAACATCATATATTGTTCTCTGAAAATGAATATATAAAAATAATTGAACTCTGTAACCGAATAAATTTTTCAAAATAAATATTAAATATTTTTTTAAGAGACTGACCTGCAGCCTTTGCATATACTCTTTCGAAAAATAAAATCAGCAGCACATCCTATAGATCACTTTTCCTGCTTTACATTTTCATTTTAAATGGAACAAGTTGCTCTGCGCTCAGCACACGGCGTATGCGTAATATTTTCTTAGGGCAGTCTGCCGACGAAGCAGTGCCATTCCCAGCTTTTGATTAATTTTTAAATAAACGCGCTGCCATAAAAATGGGCAATTGGACAGGGCATCGTAAAGGACACGTCCATGGAAATCCCTTCTCCGGGAATATGGTTTCAGTTACTGCCGTCGAGTTGCCACGCATAAATTATGAAAATTAATAAAAGTTCATTCGGTATGTGAGAGGAAACTCCTTCAGACACTTCTCATCTGCAAAAGTGTTGATGAGCAGTTGACATGGCAATGGAGAAAAATCAAAGGAGAAATCGCAGATTGCATAATTAAAGATAAATTGCGTGTGGAGATGGTAATTCTTGCTCGTTAAGCATCTTTTGTGCTACTCTTCAGTTTTTATTAATTAAGTATAACTTCAAAAAAATTGTATGTCCAAAGCCAAGTTATATTATTGTAGTCATTAAAATAATAAAAATTATAGCAATATAATAAAACAAATATAAAAATCTCGAATAGCGTATCATGCAAATACAAATTATAGTCATAAAAACATATAAAGAAATCCAGGTCTGCCTTCTAAAAGATAAATTGCTTAAGGTGATAGTTAAGCTCATTTAACAACAATTCCAGTTGTTTGCCATCACAGGGTGAATAAATTGAGCCACGTTTACGTTGAAACATTTTCACATTGATTGCACTTTTTGGCATTTTAACATTTCAAATGGCATTCTACTTCCGTTTTTCATTTTCTTGCAGGTATTTCATCCGCCACGCAATATCCGAGACGAGAAGCCCTTTGAGTTCAGCATAAGATATAAATTTATAAGCCAGTCGGATGCAGTTGTGAGGTAAGTTGCTGCACCGAACTGCACCGGCAAACTGACAAATATCTGTGCAGCTCGAAAAGTATTCAATTGATATTGGTTCGGTGCATTTGCCCTAGCTTTTCTCATTCCGATTTTCCCTTACTGTCAGCCAACCGGGGTAATGTCATCAGTCTGCTTCAGCTTTTCCCGCTCCAGTTTTCATTTTTTCATAGATGTTTCTATTTCTGGCTCTCTGACTGTGTCTTTGATTCTGGCTCTGCTTCTGGCTAAATTCGAAGGTTCTTGCTTAGAACTTAAATCTTTCTACCTGAAAGAACAATGCCACTTGGTTGCCTAGGGGATGGCTTTTCGGTAAATTCCGAAAGGAGGCAGCCTGCATAAAACATGAGTCCGTGTTCTGTCTAGTTTCTCAATACAGCTTTAGCCTCACCTCATGTATTTGCAGAGCAATCCATTTGTGCCTGGTGCCTAGGCATGTGTCAAATTTGTCTCTGTATCGTTTTCCCCTCTCACTTCCTTCGTTTTCCATGTGTCGCGCTTTTTGTTTGCAAGTGCAAATTTTGAGTGTGAGGAAAATAGAAATTGAAATGTATTTTTACGCCTGAATAAGTTTCACAGAATTTACAAGTGCACAAGAGAGACGCACAGCATGCCAGCACTCATTTTCATTGGCACACGGTAAAAAAGTGGGCTAGGGTTTGCAAAATTAATTAATTGAAAAAATTAAAAATCCCTAGAAATCAGAAAAATTTGGTTGAAAAATTCTATGGAAGCCATTTATACAAAAACAAATCAATACCTTTTCCATAAAATAAAGCGTGACTTTTTAATAATAGTTATAAAATAGTAAACAAAGTAATTAGTTTAGAGAAGTAGTTAAAAATGTGTTAAAGACAAGGCAAAATACTTAACTTAACTTTAAACCATTTTTTTTTTAAGAAATATAGAAAATTATTAGGAACTTTTTGTCTAAATGGTTTCCTTATAATTTTTAGCTACGAAAAGAATATATATTTTGTTAAGTGAAATGTCCTTTTATTATCCGTGAATCGTGTGCACACCATTACCAAACTAAACAATGATCAGGGCCCCAGGTATGACCATCTATATAAAGGTGGGTGTGAGTGTGTTTGCGAACCGTGTGAAATACCCGTAGCACATTTTATGCAAATTGCTGGTCTTTGTGTTATTGTTGTTGTTACTGCTGCTACTGCTGCTGGTGGCACAGCCTTAAATACCACTCAAAATGTACTCGCACGAACCGAAAACGAACCAGAACCGAAAACCGAGAATGAAAATTGCTAAACTCGCACAATACTTAGTGAACTGAGAATGAGAACTGAACCCTTTGGAATCTTTTTGCAGATACGGCCTGCCCGATAAGCCGCTCGAATTGGGCCGGGTGACACCTGGCACCTATTGTACCAGGCAATTCGATGAATGCTATCGTAACAAGTGTCGCCTGCAAAGTCCGAATTATCCTGGCATGTATCCGAGGAACGTAACCTGCTACTGGACGATCCGGCAGAAGGAAGTGCCGACCAGCAAGCACGCCATGATTGCCGTTAGCCAGGAAAATCAGCACAAGGCCTTGGTGAAGCGGTAAGTTAGGAGGGGATTGCGCCACTGAATCTCGAATGTCCACCTGCATTGGAGAGCATTAAATAAGCATTACCATTCTGTCCCAAACACCTTCCACCCAAAAATTCAACTCCCGATTTGAATGGGATACATGTAGTAGTAGTACACACACAGCCAACGCAAAGTGCATCTGCATCTGCATTTGTATGACAAATTTCAATTTGGCAAATTGCTAAGCGAAGTTCCAGTTTGCAGTTTGTTAACTGACGGCACAAATGAAACTGTTTCGTGTCCGAGAATGTTAAGCATTCTCGTCGCCCAAAAAGTTTTGTATATTCCAATTAAATGCGGCAAACAGTCAGCCGATGCAATTTGTATGCAAAACCGTATTAAAGGGCAGCATGTGAAGTTTGTAATTGGATTGATGGGATTAGGTAAATGTATTTTTGATATTAGCTGCCATTTATTTTCAATTTTCGAAGAGAACATTTCGGCTTTCTGGCTGGAGGTATAATAAATTCAGTTCCCAGCTGCTGATACTTTCAAAAAAGGATGTGTTTAAAGAATCCAGCAAAAATAAGTTTAATTCAATTAGGAACTTTTATTGTATATATTTTCATGATTATAGCATACAAAATTTGAACTTTAAGCCTATTTAGTAAAAATAAATCTAAGGAATAAGTGTCAAACCATTTTTGTACACTTTTGATATTGATTCAAATTATTTATTAAAATAATATTAATAATAAGTTGGTTATACATTTTTTTGTACCTTATCTTTTTATTTACCCCCAATACTAAAATATCATATAACAAGAAACCGTTCCATAGCCTTTGAGTTTATTGTTAATATTGTTTTCAAATAACAATTACTATTATTATGCTGCCAACTGTGTAAATGTTGTATTCTAGCTTTTGCAAATGAAAATGTTTTCTTTGCATTTCGAATTGATTGCTTTTCTCTGTTTTTCAATCGTACATATTGTTCGTGCTGCTCTTGCTAAACATTGCAATATGATTTCTATTTTTTGCACCCACCTTCACAGGTCAATAGCCAGCTTTAATAAAACCTCACGGTCCATTCGAGCCTGGTCGGACTGTACGGGTGAACGGGACCATTTAATTTTCTACGATGGCAGTTCCACCAACGATCCCGTTTTGGCCAAATACTGCGGAGGAGATTGGTTGCCACGCGTTGTTTCACGGTGAGTCTTACCAGAAAATTGCACAGAAAACTTCTCCCATTTCATAGGACATGGTGAGATTGTTCATCTTAATCACAGGGAGCGGCAAAGGAAATGGCAGAGGGCAAAAGAATCTGCAGGCAGACAGACATAGGACATTTATTTAACGCCATTTCTCCTTTTATGAAAAAGTTAAATATGAGCCCAGCAAAGCTCATAATACATTTACAAGAAAAGATAGACAGACATTTTTAATGAGCATGTGTGTGTGCGAGTGTGCCACTATGTGAGACTGTGCAGGTTTCGCCAACAGTGATGACACTGTAATGAGTTTGAAATTTGGGCTTCGTTTTTTGAGACAAGCCAAATTTGTTGGAGACTAATAAAATAACAATGCATCCTATTTTAATGAAGCGCTATTTTTAGGATAATTTATCTAAACTTAAATATTAAACATTTTTTGTATTTTTCTAAAATTTAGGCTTTACTAGAGTTTTTAATATAAAAGTGATCTTAAATGGGTTGTTTTAATTTAAAGTTATGCGTCTTATTAAGCCAGTTGCATTTTAAAATTTTTACTGACTAAAATGGGATATATTTATAATTCCATGAGCTTTAAAAAAAATAAAAAATCTATACCTATTTTTTAACAACGTAATAAATGTAATTTAAGAACAAGAATATTATACATTATTAAGATTATACATTATGTTAAAGTAAAAAAATATTAAAGAAATTACAAGTATCAAAAACTATATATGAGCTTTCTCAAAAAGAAAAGGTAGAGTATTAATCTACAACTTAGTAATGCCTATTTTATAAGCCTAATCCTGATCTGTACCGGAATCCAAAAGAGATTTTCCAATCACAGTGAACGGGGAATCCCCTTTTCCGCATCACTGCCGTGTATGTGTGTGTGTATGTGTGTGTGTGTGTGTGTGTGTGTGTGTGTGCAGGAGTAGTTTTGTGTGTGAGCAAGCGGAGACCGCAGCCTAGTGCACTGCACTGCAGTTTTGGCTCGGGGCGCATGTGTTCCAATTCAGTTACACATAGATACAAAGACCCACACACAGATACAAATGCAGATACAGATACAGCTAGAAGATACAGGCGTGTGTGCGCCTTACAATTGTGCGCAATGCTTAAGCAAAACCGGAAATTGGGTTGCTCTGCAGACAGTAAGCGACAGACAGACACTGAGATCAACCGACAGACAGTCGGAGGGAAAAGTGAAAAAGAGAGGCGAAATTCGAGATACAGATACACTGGCACACACACTCCCATATATGGTGCAGAAAACATCCTGGCACACACATTGAAATAAATAGATTTTTGCTGCCGTTTGAAACTTTGCTAGTGCCATCTATTGAAAACATTTTGATGCCTGTGATTTATGCAATGGCAAAATTTTGCTCATTAGTTCCCAAGTTGCCAGCATTTGGATCATCAACCATAAATTCTTAAAGACACCACAGCCTTTCAAAAGCAATTTCAAGTTTCAAAACTAGAGCGCACACACATGCACACCTGTGGTGGGCTGGAGTGTTGGTTTAAGCAATTAAAAAGCAACTCCTAATCGGTGTAGTTTTGGATTTGTTAGTGGAACCAGTTTGCTCATTAGTGCGATTATTTTTTGGTGTGGAAGTTTGCCTCTTTCGTAACTTTATGCTTTTTGACAGGACTTACAAAAAATCAGTTTACTTTTAATATGACTCTTTGAAATTATTAGTCAATTTTTGAAATAAATTTAATAGTTCATTTATTCTATGTACTACAAGATTTGAAATTAATATATGTAAAAGAAAATAGTTAGTCTATTATAACTCTATTTTTGAAGAAAAAAGGTATTAAACAGTCCTAAATTAAATGTCTTTAGTCTACAAATTGTTTTATAAAGGAAGAACATGTTGTTAGTCTATTTCTTAGTAGGTTAGTTGCATAATTTAATGACCATAAAGCAAAATAACACATTTATCACCAAAAAAACCTGAACTACCGACTCATTGGGTTTAGATTGTCATAAATTCTTGGGAGTCTGCTCTCGAAGCGCTTAGAAACACTTAAAGGACATCCCCAAAATGCTAGAATGCAGCCCTTAGCCACGCCCACGCATTTCCATGGCATTCAAGTGGCCTAGCTGTCTCCACCACCCCCTTAAACCCCCTCAGACGGCACCTTTGGCCATTTATCTTGCACTTGAGAATTTGTTTTTGTTGTCTTTCGGTCCTCGGTCAGGGCCAAAAGTTTGCTCTTTTCCAGGGTCTCCTCTGTCCACTTGGTGTCCCCTTGAGACATGCACATAAACTTTGATTTTTTTTAGTGGGCAATGTCTTATTTTTAGCTTGTTGAAACAGATGTAAAAATGTTTGTTATTCCCAGAAATCAATTTTCAAATTAGTGACTTCTTAAAATGAAAATGTTAACATTTTATTACAAGGAAATTTCCTTTATTATAAAATTCATAACAATTAACAACCCACTTTTTTGTTAAATATAAATTTTAATGAAAATAAAGTTCCTTTACTTCACTTAATTCACTTAATTTTCTAGTTCCTTTAGTTAGTTTTGACATTTTTCAAACTCTTTAAAAACATTTTCTCAACTCGTTTCCAGCATAATAAAACTTGTCGTTTTATAATGATGGCGAAATGATGATGATCGCTTTGCCTTGTGCCTCTTAATCTCTTAATGAGTTGCACTCTCGCATTTATTGACATCCTTTCCGTATCCTTGGGAAAATCTTATAAGCGCGCACAGGTGCCAGAAAAAGGAGAGACGGGCAAGGGGAATGTGCATCAAATATGCATAGAGCGTAATATGCACATGAAGGAGAAAACGAACGAAGCAAAAGACGCTCAGAGAACTTGATGGAAAAGTGGGTGCCCAAGAAAAACGGCATTAAGAAGCCAGGACCGTAGCTCGTGCCAGGCTTTTCCTTCTGCCCGCGTCACAATAATTTCCCACATCCATCTTCTTGCAGGACACGGAGAATAATTTCCACTCTAAGCACAACTAAAGTTCACAAGAAATCTGTGCAAAAATGGTATTTTAAGATTAAATCAGGAGCTTTCCCTTTTTAATAAAATTTTCAGCATTTGCTATCGAACTTGGTATACTATAAAAATTAAAGTAGATTGGTAGAACATGGATGTGGTAGTTATTTTTTGAAAAATAGGAGATCTTCAAGCCAAAAGTCCTTCCATTTAAATATGCTGAAAAAATATTAATTATTTCTGAGCTAAAAGAAACAAATTTTATAAATTTTGTTTATACTAGGACTATGTTAAGTAGGAATGTAAACTCCAAGCCAACGAATAAATTTTCATAATTTCCATAAGAAGAGTTTCATTTTTGGGAACCATAAATGTTTTTTATGTTTTTCCGTGCATTATGTCCACGTCCTACGCGACATGAGCATACGAATTATAAATGCACACACACTCGCGCGGGGAGAAGGTCCTTCTTCTCCTTCTGCAAACATCTCTCGCTTTACTTCTCACCTCGGTCATGGTTCTCTGACTTTGTAGGAAAATCGCATATGCACACAAGGACGACAGAAAATGAGTGCGGAGGTGGGGAAAAAGCTACATGAAAATTATTAATTTCCCAGCGCAACTTAAAATTGCAACGAGCTGAAGGTGCCGTGAGACGTTGGTATTTTATTGGTTTCTTTTTTTCGCTTTTCCACAATATTTTTTTTTTGGTTTTTTTTTAAGGTGTGGAATGGAAAAGCTGGAAAAGTTGTATTTTGCTCTCAGCTGCAACAGCAGCATAAGCAGCAGCTGTTGATTTTCCTCTAAGTAAATGTTAATTTTTGTTAGCCAAGAAAAGAAAAACTCAAAGCGATAACTTTTTAAATTGCATATTAATTCTTTATGGCGTAAATTTTTGATCCCCTCTTCCATCTCACAGTTTTCCGCTCCACCTGTTTTGTGGTTCCACTTTGCGGATTAGTCTTGATGAATATCGGGGATGGCAAACGGGATGTTTGCCTTTGGTTAATTCCAAATTTCGGGTGTGAGATTTTGTTTGGAAAATGTTTAACTTTGTGAGTTTAACGCTTAGAGGTGTAAGGAATTTGGTTTTAATATCGAATATCGAGTTAGAGAAAATGAAAATTGACGATATCTTCAAAAATGTCTCTTTAAAGTCCGATCATAAGCGACCATGGTTCGCTATCCCGAATTGCGTATAAATCACTCAGGCCCAGGTCCTTTAATCACTTAAATTTCTAGTGTGCTTCTGAACTCCCCTCCAAACACCAGGCATCCTCAAGCCCCAGAGTGACCGCAATTCCACAGAGTTTCGAGGGGTGATGTTCCGGGAGGACATCGCTGCCATTTGCGGTCAGGACACTCTGACGCTTCGGAGAAGTTTACGTGTATTGATAACGGACAAAGGGACAGCGATTTAGAGATGAGATCGGGCGGCTGGCGCGAGTTTGAGGAGGGAAGTTTGCCATGGATTCGTGTTGATTTTACGACACCCACAAGTGTGCCGCAGGGCATAAAGTAACCAAATGCCGCGCAAGTACGCGTACAGATGGCATGCACTGGGAAAACTGGAATAAACTTTAAAGTTCAGATTTAAATTGTAATATCATTTAGCAAAAAATTTTTGTTTAGCAAATGCGTTAATGATAATTTTTTGATACGATTTTCAGTCAGAAAATATTAATATGGTACAGTACAAAAATTGCAAACAAATTTTCATCCATTCTGCTGAATGGATGAATACATTTAAATAATCCAATGATGTTTTTACCAGTCCTCCTTTAAAACTTTATTGAAAAGTATGGGTCTGTAGACTTGGAAAACTACCTGTATTTTTTCCAAGTACACCACCACACACAAGGCCGGGCGAAAAGGACATTCCCAAGCAACCAGGACATGTCCCTGCTGAATTCCAGAGGCCCGAGTGGGGACCAAACATTTGTGTCGCTTTATTAAAAATTAATTTACTTTTCATTTGCAGTTTATTGCACTTGGCACTGACAGAAAGCATTGCAGCTGTTCCCAGGCTCTTGCCCCATAACGCCCCCCCATCCATCGCCCCTATCTAAAGGCACGATTCGCTTAAATAATAAGAAGCTTTGCCACTCACACTCGGCCACACTTACACGTATTAAAAAGCCATTTTGTTGGCCGTGTTTGATGGCTTTTGACATCGTCTGCGTGAGCGTTTCTTTTTAAGTGTTCAACTTCTTGGCTTAGATGGGTGCGTGTATGAGTGTGTGGAGCGGGTGCTCAGTTTCCGTTTTATATTTTATGTCTTGACATATTACGCATACGCCGTGTGTGCGCACCTCTTGCCCGGGCAATAAAAATTCAATTTGATGTTTAAATTGAAAACTTTGAACATAATTTATATGGTCATGAATGCGGCATGCTAAAAAGATGGAAATATTCGAGAAACCTGGTTAAACTGCTTATCAAGAACTAAAGTTTATAAAAACATATATTTTCTATTTTATATTATTCTTATATTTATATGTCTTGTCCGAAACATTTGACTTGGCTTTAATTAAATGCATTTAATTCCGTTGCCATTATTTTTAAGCAGATCTTTGAATTCAAAGTTTTATGAACACTTGATGTCATTGCCACGGCTGCTGTTTCGCCCTCTTCCGTTCACCATAAAATCTGGCGTCGCGACGTCTGCAAATACAGACAAAAAATATTAGGGGGCAGAAAATTCTTTTGGTGCAACACCCACTACTAACTGAAATTTCATAATTTTTGGCCAGAAAAATCAAAAGACAAACGGCAAAATTTTTGGCCCAACTCGACTCAGTTACTTTGTTATGCCAAAAAATTTGCCTAAAACTTTCGCAAGCCACCCAACCAACGCCCACCAACGAGACAATGGCGAAAAAAGTTAATTTGGCAGCAAAAATGCAAACAACCAGACGGAGCGGACACTTTAAATAGCCCAAAACAAAGCGGCAGAGAACTGCGTCATACTTTTGGGCGCGGTTCGTCGGCATTTTGGCAAAACGCCCACCGAGCTTGTTGTTTGTGCTATTTTGTTGGGCTGTTTTGGGTTTGTTGCCTCTTTCGTGGGCAAAAAGTTTACGACTTTTCTTGTTTGCCGAATTGTGCAAATTAAATTTATGTGAGCTGAAGTTTTTTCACGCCTCTAATTGGAGTGCCAGTGGCCTGGTTATGGACAAACCTCACAAGCCACCACGGGGCGTATGAGCGATATTGGGTAAAACTTCTGAGATTTCTTCGCAAAAAGTTTTTGGGCGGCCGGGTGGCTGCCACTTATGGCCAAGTATCATTGAAATTGAAACAAAAAGATAAGCCAATATTAGGTTGAATTTAATAATAATATAGAAAGAGATTCTCAGAACTCGATAAAGCCACTTGAATAAAGCGTTAAGCGATATGAGCCACAATAAATATGCACCTAAAACTGGATTCCTTTTGCAAATAAAGCATAATTATAATTCAAATTATGAGTATATACATCTATCTATAATCCTATCTTTGTAATTCATTTTTAATAACTGTTTCTTTGCTTTAAATATATACAAAAATCAGCATTAATTAAATTTCCATTGATTTCTCTTACTTTCAGTGGTCCTGAAATGCTGGTGGCCTTTCACTCCAGCCCGTTTTCGGCGCCCTTGCAACAGGGAATTCCGAATCGTGGCTTCGAACTGGACGTGGACATACTCTTCACCGATTCCGACTCGTTTGACTTTGCCCAGGGCACCAAGAACCTGTGCGAATTCCACATTAATGCCTCGAATCCGGGTAAGAGAAGATCCCCACAAATGAATATGAATAACCATAATTAATGGCAATTAACGCTGGGCTCTGCTGCAGGTGCAGGTGCGGCAAACTTTCCCATAAAAGACACTGTCAACTGGGTCAGCACTTTGCATTTCCCATTTCCACTCCTCACATATTCCACTTTCTTCGAAACCTTTTCCGAATTACACCTCTTCTGGTTATCGTCTTCTTTGTTAAAAGCGCAGGTACATCCTCTTTTATCGTTTTTAACTGGAAATTATTATTTATATTGCCTGCTGATGAATGTTGCTTACTGAAAACTCTGTTGGCTGCTTAATGACCATAAAAACCAACAATCAAATGTTGGTAAAAGCCAATTCCTTTCCGTATTTTTGTGGCATAGTGTACGTGAAGTAGTTTGGCGCCGAAGTTACCAAGGTGTCGTAATTCGATGGGCGTGGTCGTAACTATACAGCCTCTATTAGCCTTTGGCTCTAATCTAAGCAGACTAAATGAGATTTTAATTAAATTCAAGGCCAGACGAAACCCCCACGGAAACCGAAGAACTAAGCTGGCCAAATGGCTTTTCAGGCTTGACTTAATGTGGCGGCCAAAAAGAAAAGTATGAGTAATTGCTTGGGCAGCAGATAATGTTCGGAATGGATTTCAGAGGGAGAGTTGCGAAATTAAATGTCTGGGATGTGGTTACTTGGGAATTGCTGCTGGGCGAAAAAAAAAAAAAACAAATAAATATGATTAAGTTTAGCTTAACATTTATTGCAATAAACATACTTTTCTGAACATATTTTCTTAGTGCCATTTATATATACATTTTTCAAGGCAACTTAAAAACGCAATCTTCAGTGATGTGCTGAATAATGTCTGAAGTAACCCCCAACTCCTTGGACCAACATTAATTAGCATTCCTCACTAACCGAATGTTCTGCTTGAAGGAGTACCCTATTCTAAGCTTGTTTTTCATGACTTCACCCTGCTTCCTCGTCATCTTCCACCTAAGCGCTTCCCCTTGGCTTGGTTTTCCCCAGAATTTCATTCTCCCTGGCCAGCAGTCAGCTGCATTTAATTGAAAAATTATTAAATGAGATTTCAGGCTGCCCTCCTGTGCTGTGCCTCTCGGGTGCCAGGACCACTCCATCAATTTAGTGCAGCAGCCGCAGTGGTGGCCAAAAGTAGGCACCGCCATGGCAGCCGCTAATGTTCATTAATTTGCACTTAATAACTTTTGAGTAGATTTTATTTTGCTGGCCAAACCCAAAACGCTGGTCTTTCATTATTTTCCTCTACGCTTTTTTATCTTGCAACAAAAAAAAAAAATAAACGAAAAACCAAAAATGGTAGAAAATTGAGAGAACTCTCATTTGAAATTAGTTTTTTGGTTGAGCAGGCAATTTTGGCATAAAAAAGTGTGGGGCAAATCAACTCACTCCCTGTTTATTTTCCCTACTTCTTATACTTTACATAACAGCTTTTCTACGCCTTGTTGTTGGGCTCATTAACTTGCCAGCTTATATATATATAGACATAGCTATATGTATTTGCCAGTTGTTGTTGTTTCTGTTTGTGCTTAATTTTTGACCGTTTAACTTTTGTAAATGCCTTTCATCCTCATTCCACATTCTCTTGGCTTTTTCACTTCGGTTTGGCTTAATGTGTTGGCTGGGAAATCGAGCAGATGTGTCTGCTATCATTAGGCCGAAATTTGAATGGGACTCGGCTGCTTTATCTATCATAGTTAAAATCTATTTGGCGTAGAAGAGCTTTAAGACGGGATTGCACATCTTAAAAGTACTTAATAAATCTTAAGACGTGTACATATAGTTTATTAAATGATGTCTTTCAGTATTGAAAAGGTGATGCGTACAAAAATGCTGTTCTTTTGGCATTCTTTTTAAAGAATATGTAAATAGCTATCATAAAATAGAAACTTCTTTTTAAATCCCATCTTTTCTAACAAAATCTTTAAATAGATTTGATATATATTTAAACTCCAAAGATATATAAAATTATAGATCAAAAGCAAATTTTTAACAACTAAATAATAGAAGTGATAATTACATATATTTATTATGCCTATGGCAAGGAACCATAAATATGTTGCTTCGGGCAAAAGAAACTAATTAGAAATAACGAATAGCATTCTGTTAAAGCAAACTGTGATGTTCAATTAGGAGACCTCGGCGTATGAAACATTTATTAATAATGGCAGCCAAGGAGCCACACTGAGTTGGGAGGGGAGTTAGAAGGAGTTGGCTAACAATTCGGGCAAACAAGGCGGTATAATTGTTTTGTTATCGACACACGGACACACACACTGTACCACCCCCACCCACGCAGCCACACCCCTTTTGGAGCGCCCCAAATGCTAACAATTTCAGCGGAAGGGGCGACAGTATTGCGCGATACAAATAAATTATTAGGGGGTTGCAACATGATTTTAATTAAAGTTTTAACGAAAACCAAATATTTATCGTTTCATTTTGCTTTCATTTGTTCGCTGTGTGCGGTTTTATTTGCACCCCTACACACCCACACAATTATTTTTTGCAACACAAACAACAACATCATTAAGCATGGGGCCGCAAAAATTCAATATGCACTTGTATTTGAATATTTGAAAATTTTAGCTTTGGTGCGGGGCGAAAACAAGGACAATTTATTATGAGCAGTAAAGGTCATTGCAATGTTATACATTTATACATAATCATCAGTGTGTGCGGTCTTCAATAGAATTCTCGTAGAATATTCAATGCAAATAATGCGCTTGGACCACGCGGCGTATGATTAATAAACTGCAGATGCAGATGTTTTGTGTACAGAAGTTCGGCAGGGGCTTCACTCAGTGTGTTGATTACGTAACAGAATCAGTTGCATATTTAATTTGGTTTGATTTGGCCATAACTTTTTCAATTAACTTTAATTAAATGTGCAACTTTTCGCCCCAGTCAGAGAAGAAACCCTCTGGGTTTTGTGGTGTGTGTCGATTTTAATTAAATCTTGTTTGCTTATATTTTCCTCTGACAGACCATGTAAACGTTTAAAGTATACTTAAATCAATCGCAATTATATTGCCGAGTTTTCGCCGACATCAACCAACAGATCTTTTGTAACCAGAAAAATATTGTCATAGCTGCCAATGGCCGATCCAATTATTTCCTAAAAGGATTTCTCCGTCAGCCAAGCGTTATCTGACCCAATCAATATTCGATTTCGTCCGGATTCCCTAATTAGTGCTAATCAACTTCAGCCAAACATTCCGCATGCAATAGCAGCCCACAAAGACGGAAAAAACTTCATTCAACGAACATTTGACATGTCCATTGCCATGGCAACTTGTTCACTCACATCTAATGCCGCCAATCAGAATCGGGTAATAAATTACCCTATGTGAAATCGCTGTAAGATTTGCCCAAATCATTTATGCCAACTAAGCAGGCACAAGCGGAATACACAAACAGTTAAAAGGGAAACAGGCGAATCACAGATGTTAGAAATTTATTACCCTACAAGAAGCGAAACATTTCCGCTTTATGATTTTGGACTTAAACTTAAAGGAAAATGCTTGAGAAAATTATCAATAAATTGTAGGGACATATAATCACCGCAAGAAATTGTTGTTTAATAAAACAAGTTTTAATTTTTCATTAAAGAAAAATAAGGGCCGCAAGACTAAACTCTTATGTCTCAATTTTACCCTTATATGACAGATACAGTTTTTGCCATTCCTCCCTTGCCAATTCCAGGGAAGTTGTTTTGACGTTTTTCTGTTCATTGATTTACGGATTATTGTTGATGACATAGTCGGGGGAATCACCAAATCGCCTCGCTGAACTTAAGTTTCTTCTAAGACCCACCAACTCAAGCCATTTTTCCAACGGCGCCCTCAGCTGTTGTTACACCTAAAGTTTCGTAAAGTTTTTCAGCAAACTTTAAACAAAACCTTTCAATTTTGTTGCCTTCTTTTTTCTTTTTTTCTTTCTTTTTGAACGTTTGTGGAAATTTTCCTTTTTAATTTCATAAAGTCAACAGACGAAAACAAAGAAAGGGATGGCAAACAATGAAGCGTGGAACGGCGGGCAAAGACAAAGGGAATTTGTATTTAATGTATTAGTGAGGGGAAAGTTGGTTACGGAAGTAATATGTAAAATTAAAGGTGCTTTGCGAAAAAAGAAAAAAAAATGAGAAGGAGGAAAGCTTTGAAAAACATCTACAAATTTGGTTTGTCTCAATTCGTATTGTAAACACTCATAAATACTCTACACCTGTACAAAGTAATAAATATATTTAATAATTAAACTCAACTTTTTTAGGCATACATTTAATGGATATATATCCATATATCGTTTAAATAATGTCAATTAAATAGTTTTTTCGTGTAGCTAGTAACTAAAACATATTCTTTGTTTCGATGCACTCAACCACATATAAGGAAATGAGGTCGATATCGGCTGGATTTCTCTAGAGGGGTGAAAATCGAAGGAAATGGGATTGCGATGTTAGAGAAGCTGGTGAATATTTGCTGTTTAGTTTGCTTATTGAGTTGCAATTTTGTTTGCAATCAGCGGATGGGAAGACGAAGCAATAGAAAACAACAACAGAAATGGCAATGGGTGGAAAACGAGGGGGAGATGATTGGCAAACAACAAATTAGCATATTTGCACATAACGGCAACATTTTATTTGCATTCAAATGTGCGAGTGTGTGAATATGTGTTTTCGCATCGCATGTGTGTATGCGCTTTTATGTAATATCAATATTTAAACGTGAATTTGTCAATGAAAAGCAAAATGGTTGCATCTTTTTATTAACTGTGCGCCATTTTTTCTGTGTGATTTGATTTTTAGGCGAATATAGAAAATAATACCAGCTTGTTTACTTTAAAACCTATTCCGGTGAACAGCAATTTAAAGAGCTTTACTCAATTTAAATTTGGCAACAGTTTTTGTTTATCTGAATCCTTCAACTTTTGTGCAACCAAACATTAATTGGCTGAAAGCTTTGGCAACTTAATTTTCCATGGAAATTAATTATTAGAGCAAACACCCAAAATACGGAATATTTCCATTGGGGACATGGGGCATGCCTCTGCATATATTTATAAAGCTACTTTCTGCCCTCCAGCTGAAAATTCCGTAAATTTCGGTTTCGGCTGTGCACAAAAACATAATTAACTTGCTCGATATGATGCATATACGTATAACCATCAAATGTGGTGGCAAAAATTTGGGACGAGGGCGAAAAATGTATGTTTTTGTTTTCCTCTCGCTTATTATTTATAACGTTTAATTTGCTTTGCTCGCCAGGCCAATCATATTTCGCTTTTTGGCTTGGGGTTTGTCATTTGTGCCGCAGTCATTTTGATTATTGGTAAATTTAAAAATATTTATTTTTGGTATAGCTATTTACACAGGGAAATCATTTTAAGTTTAATTTTACGCTACCAAAAACACAGGTTATGCCAAAATAACAATAATATATAATATTTAATTTATTAAAATTGCAAAGTAGATAGGATAGCCTTTTGGAATTATTAACACTTAATCGGTTTTTTTCAACAAAGATATGGAGACAATAAATGTTTGAAATCACATTCAATTGAGAGCCAAGAACCAGAAAACTGATAACCTAAGCTTAAATTATTTAAATTAAAAATATATAAATACCGAACAAATAATTGAAAGATACAATTACATTTGCAGAAAAATATTCGAAATCGGCACAAAGTGTCTGCCATATTTATCAATTTAATGTTGAATGACCATTAGGCTTATGGCGATTTACCGGCAATTCAACAAAAACCAATTCAGCGCCATCAAATATGCGTGACAATCCATTAAGTGATATATGTGCAGTAGAGCCCACTTGCATATTAAATCGTTCTGGATGGAAATAGTCTGGATTCGGGTTCGGTTTCTGGTCTGGCTAATTGTTTGAATGTGTTAAATGTAATGCAGCATAAAACGAAAATAAACAGACCCAGTTGGGAAAATTCGCTATGGGCAGATATCCATCTATATATATATATACGAGTATAACAGCCTGCGGGGTGCGTTCTATTTAATTTGCGCACGGGTTCGGGCCCGAAAATCGAAAAACAACAACCACAGTGGCAATCCAATAAACAATCAACGAGAAAAAAGGGGGAATGAATGGAAATGGAAATGGAAATGCTACTCAATCAGCAATAGTTAGGTTCCTGGTCCTTTTCCCCCCAACTCTCCTGGCAATCAATAAAAGTAACACCCCATAATTTAATGCCCCAAATGTGTTGCGACTACATTTTGCGGTTGCTGGCCAAGGGGAAAAAAGTCAAAGCCAAAGCCACCATAGCCGTAACCAACATTTCGCCACCGCCGGCGGCCCAAATGCACTCTAATAATAAATCGCAGAAATAACAATTTTATTGCCAGCGCTTGCGGTTTTCCTATACCTGTTCCAGGGTTTCCTAGTCCACAAACACACCTGCCTGGCCGTCTGCGCAGTGTTGCCATTGCCACTCGATAGTCGCACTTTATGGCCAGCTGATAAGCATATTATTATTATTGCTACTATTACGCACCCACACACACCCTCGAATTGCTGACTTGAATTATTTCAGGACGTGTGTGTGACTATTTGGTATACGAGTATAGGAGTGTACGAGTATATGTGCCCCATGGTCTGGCCACTGTAACAACCTTTGTTGTATGGCCCACGCAGTCAGCGCAAATGTGTCGAAGCGAAATTTATTACAGCCAACTAGTGCAACTGTAGCCAGCTGAGTGCCGGAGGGAATTAGAGGTGTACGCGTGTGATTTTGGTTTTTTTCTGCTACACATTCGATACTATCGATGGAACAAAAACTTAAATACTAATTTATATATGGAAGCCATCGACAATTCCATTGATATTATAACATCTAAATAATAAGATAAGAAAACTATAATTGTAGAGCTCAAAAAGAAAATCGTTTTCATTTTACATGTAATGATATTAAAATTATCGTTTATTTTTCACCTTTTCGCTTTTATAAAATGTATATATATATGGCACAACAATAGGGCAAGAAAAACCTAGTTTAGTTCAAAGCATTTAATTTATAAAAATGTTCTAATCCTAACATGATATTTATTTGCAATAATTGATAAAGTTTTGTTAGTTAAATTTAATTACTATCGGCTTAATGTGCAAAGCTTTTTACCTAGCGGACTATAAAATTAATTAATTGGGACTTAAAGTTATTAATTTTTGCCGTTAATTGAACTATTCAAATAAATTTCATTCCGTATAAACTCTTAGATAGCTTAAAATAATTTAGGTAATTTAAAGAGCCAATAACACGTAATTATTTTTAATGATTTCTGCTTTTATCCAGCATTCTTTTTAGTGTCACTCATATTTCCATCGCTAGGTATGAGTGCTCCCGGCCATCTGTTAACTAATTCAGATGCCATGGCAGGAATGGCCAATGATTACATTTCATGTGGCATATGCATATATATAGTATATCCATGTGCACCTTTATGCCCTTGTATATGTAGCTTTCATGTGCCGAGTTGTCGATTATTTTGAGCATTTTAGTTGCTATGTGAAATCACAATTCCCCAGCGAGTTGAAAAATGTTATTGAGATTTCTGTTGACAGTTTCGACTGAAAATTTAATGAATGTTCACTTTGGTTGAGCCACTCCGCACAGAAGGGCCTAAAAAATCATACACTCTCATGCATTTGAAATGCGAGTTAAATTTGATTTGTATATTTCAAATGACAGAATTGGATTGAACAATGGATTTGAGGTTTCAAAAACAATGTTCGTATATTTATTATTCCTCAGTCGACTCCAATGTAGGCAACACATTTTTAAACTCCCATTTAGCTTTCGCTGCTTTCAAGAAGCAGCTCATGTTTAAAGGCCACTTTACTTTTATATGCCACAGCCAGCGAAATGTGACAATAAAAATCTCATAAAAACGTATTACTTAGCTAGTACTCACAGTGTGAGTCTCACACACGTAGTACACTGAACAAGAATTCATTGTGACATATTGTTTGGCTTTGGAAAATATAAAACTCTTAAATTGTCGGAAGGTTATTTACATTGATATAAATATTTTTGGTATCATCAGTGAATTTAAGAATTTTGAATACCAAAATTTAGTTCCTTATGCCTAGTCTGTATACTTTTAAAAACATTTTAACAATGGTCAACAAATTTTTTTCTTATAACGACCTGAAATTTAATTGTATTTCATTTTCTTTTCTTTTGAAAAGGCAGGCATTACTATTCTTTTAAAAAGTGATTTATTAATTATTCATTAAAATATTCCACTTGCTTGTGATTAACCAGAATTTGTCAAGTGTATTTGAGGGGAGCAGGCTTGATTCTTCAACTTCTCCCCAAACCAAAAAAAAAAAATAAAAAAAGCGGGCTCAGTGGGCCGACAACTTTTGCCTGGTGGCAGCTGCAGCAACTTTTCCCTTCTGTCTGCCACTCGATGCGGCACGGCACACATCAAAAGTCTTTTGGCCTCTTTCCCCGGCAAGTTGGAAAAGCTGTCGCAGCGGCTAGAATCGACGCAGGTGTTATCATCGATACCGTTGACGATTGTTTCCTTTATATCGACTCTGGCACTTCAGCCAACGTCGCTTTTGCCCCGTTTTCCCCACCATTTTCCAGCTTTTCCCGCTGGCGCATTGCTACAAAACGTAGCGACTTTTGCCAATTGAAACGCCGAGTAGATGTTGCTTTTTGCCTTGCTCCTCCGCTTTTTGCGGCGTTGTTTTGCTCCCAATGCCTTTTTTAATTTGTCACTTGAATCAAAAGTTGCCAAAGTTGTCCCAGTCTGGAGTTGTGTAGCTCTGGGTTTTGGTTTGCTCTCCGCGTTGTTAGCCCTGTTCGTTTCGCTGCTCCTTTGTTGCCCATTTCCTTTTGGCAACTTTAATTAAAGCCGAGATCGTGAATTGCAACATTAGGCAACGGCAACACGCGCAGCTTTAACATTGTATTCATCTCAAATGTTGTACAAAGTTGGATTTGATGGATGATGCGGCTTGATGGGGAAGAAAAAAGAAAGTGGGTGATGCACAGAAAAGCATACAACAGTAGCTTTAAATCCTTGCGATTTATTTATTTGTTAAAAAACAGTCCAAGCTGAATGAAATCTCATACGTTTTATTATATTTTTGTGTTTACTAGTACACTGTTTAATTTTCTAAGTTTGAAATGGTCTAAGCAAAAACTTTTAGCTACAAAAGATCCATAGCTTATTGCATTATATTTTTTAATTCTATCGATCTCATTTTAATGAATTATTCCCTATATAGACAGCCAATTTCAGTACTTACTATCTGCATATATTCCAGTGATAAAAATAAAGTATAAAAACAAAAAGTTAATCCCCCAGACAGGCACACATTGTAAATTAACCTAAATCACGTGTAAGCCGCTTGTCATACAACGTTCTTAGGACATATTAAAAAGCGTCGAGAAGGACGAGCCGACTGTGCACATCGGTGTACTATACATAAATATCTATATCCATATATGCATATTATTATCCCCCTGACTCACTCCACCGATTTTTTTCTCCTTTCCAGATGATGTGCTATTCTCGCGTCGCGGCCGCATGGGACGCATTGTGAGTCCGCGTCACACGCTTCCGCCGAATACGACATGCACGTACCACTTTCACGGATATCCTGGTGACCTGATTTGGTTATCGTTTACCAGCTACAATCTGCAGATCCTGCAGCAGGCGATACACGACAACAATACGCTTGGACGGGTGAGTTGAGTTTAGTTGAGTTGAGTTTTGCGGAGCGTCTGTGTTTGCGCCATAAAGCGTTTAACCGATATGTTGTCAAGGGAAGAGTAGGTGAAATTGTACTGAGAAAAAATGTACTTTAATTTAAGAGTGCCTTAGAGATCGATAGAAATTTGCTTGAGTAGCTGTTACTTTCCAAAATCGGCTACTGCCACAAACTTTCTTATTCTTCTGGGGGTTGAACAATTTAGGCAAATTTCATAGCCACAAACTTCAAGTAGAATAGTCCTTTAAATACTTAAATTGCCCCTCTGAAACTCTTCTCAAAACCCGTTAGGGTTAATTTAAAATATCACAAAATTAAAACCTTTTTATTTTTTTAAGACCATAAAATTAAAGGAAATTCATTTGACCATAACAAATACATATAATTAATATTATATTTACTTAACTCGTTCTCCTAGAGAAAATCATTTTAAATGCAACGAATTATTATTTAATGCCTGCGGCTATTTTGGTCCAGTGTGGGCGTTCAGCTGCTGCATAAATTTTATGCCCAAGGGAGGGGTACAGAAATGCTGGGGTTGTATGTGGGTGGTTGGGCTGGCTTACACAGTTTGCCGTTCGCATTGTCTTTTAAATGCACTGCGTCTACGCCAGCGGCGTCTCCTCCATATGGCATTGTCTTTGGCTCCAGCAGCCTCCCCCATTTATATCTCCATATCCCCTCAACATGTCTTGCTATTAGTGCCAGTCGGTCGACACTTTGTCTCTGCTGGCCAATTAAAAATGCAGCCATAGAAATGCAGTGTATAAAATGTATAATTAAGTGAAAGCTTACGCAACTCCTAACGAGACATTTTTGAGTCTGAAGTCTGCCCGCCAGCAAATGCAACTGCGTCAAAATGCGGCACTAACAACAACAACAACAACAACAAACAACAGACAACTATAATAATGTCCTGCTTTCTCTTTCCACACTTGTCCATCTGACTCTTTCTTTGCTGCATGGAGAAAAAAAAATGTGTTTATAATTACAATATCATAGACCAATTATATTGTAGTTATAATCATATATTTTTAATTTTATGTTTTAGAAAAAGGATTTAAATAATATTTGTATAAAATATTACATTTTTTGGGTTGTTTTTTGGGTAAGCCTTAAACTTAGTTGTAATAATAGAATAACTGCTTCTTCCCTTTTCCCAAAACCCAATTTAAGGAATTAAGTTAAATATGAAATTGAGTTATTGAGATTGGAAGTTTGATGCCTTTGAAGAAGAGCACCGTATTAAACAATTTTTTAAAAATAAAGCAATTTTTGAAGAACTTAAACCCTATTTCTCTCAGTGCTGTCATCATAGTGGCGTGTGCATTTTAAATGTTCGTTGTCGCCTGCCTAACGGTCCGTGAATTGTGTCAAGGTAGAATGTTGAGTTCGCGTGGACGAACTACGATAGCGCGTAGTGTCGGGTCAGCGAGTGTCTCAAAGGATGAAATCCTGCCCCTGTCCCCAGATAACTGAATGGTCATTTAGGTTAGCCCAGGCGAAAGTTCATTCGAGTTGCAAGTTGGAGGGCCTTGCGCCAAGGGGCTCTGATTTATGTTAAAGTCCGGTGATTTACTCTCGCTCGAGTTAGGTCATAAAAGCAAATGAGGTAAAGGGAAAGAAGAAATTAAATAATTAATTATAATTATTATATTAAACAGATGAATGACTTTGATAAATCAAATAATTTATGACACAGGGATAAAATCAGATATAATCAGCAACCAACAACTCTCAGAAATGTTGGAAGAACTCCTCTAACCAAAATATTCATTTTGAATGAAATATTTATGTCTTTATACAAGTTTATATTAATCATTTCAAAATAGTTTCTTAAATAGTTTGTTTACAAACTATAGAATTTATTTGACTACTTTTTGTTCGTTTATTTTCACCATAGTTTTATCGTAGTTTTAAGCTCCCACAACTTTTTTACAATTCTCTAATAAAGTTTTCCTTTTGACTTTAAATTGTTAAATCTCTAAGCTGAAACCGGTGTCGACTTCTAAAGCTGTTCGTCTAAGTGCTTGAAACTTCCCCACATTTTCTACCATTTTCTGTATGGCCCCAAAAGATCACAGAGCACATATGTGAATTGAAATAATAGAAGGTGAAATGGTATGATATTGGGGACATGTCAACGCTTTGCGTGGTCTCATAAATGTCGTCGCATTACAAGTATTTCCAACATTTCTCCGCAGCCACACTCCAATCATTCGCGTTCCCATTCTTTTGTTTTTTTTTTTTTTTTTTCATCGTCGAGTTTTAACTTTGGTTCTTAATTTAAAAAGTTTGTTTCGCCTCGCTTTTCGTTGTGTGTGTATGTTTGTTTGTTTTTTCATTTGTTTCTTTTTTTTTTTATTTTAGAAAATTCGCATTCACTTGTTTGTGAGTTTGTTGTTGTCATTCCCCACACTCCCCGACAAAAAAAAATGGTTTCGCCCACGTTCCAATGACTTCAGTTTCCCAGTACCTGCTGTTTTTGTTTTTGTCACTTTTTCCTTGCTGTTACAAAATTCATGAACTGTTTCTGCCGTTTCCATTCTTGTACTCCCGCCCATCGGAGTCGCCCGTTTTGTGTTTTATTTTACACATATTTTTGTTCTGTCACTTTTTATTGTACTCCCATTTGTTGATGCTAAAAAGAGACGAGTAAATGTACAGAGAAAAAAAAGTATAAAAGTATCCAAAAACATTTATCCTATTCCTAACTATTAAGTAATATACAAACACTTAACTAGCGAACTTCGATTTAGATTAATTAATTTATTTGCTGAAGTGTTTGATACTTTTAATTTGTTTGTAACTTTACAAAACTGATGAACGTGAGATAATCCTGTAGCTATTAATTTTACACACTTATACAACAATGAGAAATGCATTTTTTTATTTCTGTATACAAAAAAAGCGCACTTTAATTTTAAAATTTGTTTTCTTAAGTAAAATGTCATGAATTTAAAAATTGGCTAAAAATTTAATAATTGTATAGAATCTATATCTTTTTCCAATTGTTTTTTTCTCTGCACAGTGGGTGGTAAAGTGGGCGGTAGGTGTACAGATAGTAGGTGTTGCTGCAAAGTTGTTTTGCTTTATTTTGCTCGCAGCCCCCCAATATATATCTCCATCTTTTTTTCAGTCTTTGTTTATTTGTGTGCTGCTGGCAGCTTTTCATTTTTCGCAATTTAAAGTGTAGGTGAGGCAACTGCAATTGACACGGACAGAGGGAACATCCTGCGGTGGGGAGCGGGGGGCGTGGCCCAAAAACGGAAGAGACAATTGTGTGGGTGTTGGCTGAGGGTTCAGCCACCATTTATCTGCTCTCTTTCCGTTTGTTTTTTTTTTTTGTATTTCAATGGGTTTTTTGCCAAATTAATTGGCACCGAAATTTTACAAACGCTTGGTGCATGTGTCTACCAAAAATAAATTAGATGCCTCTGTTTTATTTGAAAGGCGTCTAGACAGCGAACGACCTTGAGTATATGAAATGCTGTTGGCAATTTATCTGATTGCACGTCAGGTGGAAAGTTTTCACAGCCTCCTTTCTTAGTCCTTCGAAAATGTCTCGAAGAATGTGTGAAAGTAATAAAGGTGCGGCATGTGTGGCATTCCTAAGAGTTCGGGTTTGATTAGTGTGGTCTGTCTGTGGAATTTATTAAATTCAAAGGCAGAGAAAGTGATGACGGTTAAAGCAGCTCAGGAATTTCATAATATTTTCGGGCACAAATTCAATTAGAAACTTAGTTTCATAAGCTTTAGGAAAGGCGAGTACACTTATTCGGCAACATAATTAATATTTATTGCACTCTTAAGCTGCCGTAAAATGAAGTAACAGAAACCTTGTTAAATTCTAAGGAATTTTAAGAAACTCAAGACCAGAATGCAGTGATTTAATTTTCAAGCAAATCAAGTAAATGAAATGAACAGAGGCAACGGGCCTAAATGGCTGTCAGTTAGTTTCTGGGCCGACACTTCGTGCCACTGACTTTGCCCGGGTCCCGAGTCTTTTACTTCAGTTTCTTCAGTCAAGCCACAGCTGTTTGCAACTGTCTTTTTCTTTATTAACACAGTCAACAATAATCAGGGCCTAGGCGGAATGCTGGGGGAAAACATAAACATTGTCAGGCCAGGAGGCGTCTAGGAAAAATATTTAATGCCTGCAAACAACAACAAGGAGACTGTGAAGAATGTAAAGACTGTGACTACAACAGTCGACGGGTGTGTGAGGGGGTTTCGGACGGGGACAGTGACAAACGACAAATAACTCACACTTGGAACTGTTTGAATATGACATGTGACAAACGGCGGGCGAGCGGGGAAACTAACAAAGGAAGAACACAAGCAGCCAAAGGGAAAGCGTGAAAAACGCGTTGGATGAAAAACATGACAGCGTGTTCACATACTCAGAAAAAATGTGGAGCAATTTTTGTAGGAAAATAAAAAATAGCGTACATTTAAAAATGTGATTACCACAAATTTCATAGCTATAAAGGTCTTTCAAAAAAATGCTTTAAGTAAACAACAAATAGTTAAACACCATATTTTAAACAGTTCAACTTTTTTATAAGTGAAAAAAAACTATTTTATTTTAAGAGGAAGCATTTCCTGCTGTGTTAAATCTCTGCAAAAAAAAAAAACCCAAAAACAAAAAACACACAAAAACGCAAAAACAAGTATACCATAAAATAAGTACCTTAATTTTGACCGATATCATTAGGTATTGTTAGACTTCCATTTCCGCATTTTTCTCGGTGCACATAAAAATGATGTCAGCAAGAGAATTAAACAATAACATGTGTTCGCTTTCTTCTTGTCGTTCCAATTGTCTTTCTGCAGAGCGATCTGCCACCGTGGATAACCCGCCTGAGGATGTGGGACAGCTATGGGACGTATGTGCCCATGAAATCGACAAGTTCAACCACCGGCCAACCGCCCCCACCGCCCCCCCGTGGCCTCATCGGCGGACGGGGGGAAGCCCACCCTGTTGAACCAGAGCAACTACGGCAGCTACTACTATAGTGCCAGCAATCCGAAGCTGAACCGGAATCTGCGGGTGAACATCGACAATGCCTGGAATCCGGTGGACACCTACATTTACGGACCCACCCAGTCAAGTGTTTTTAACCAGGAGAACAAGTACAGTGGCTACCAGGGAACAGGGCCCGGCGGAGGATCCGCAGGAGCTGGTGGCCCCGGAAAACCGTTGGCTGGGGTCAAGGACAGCCTCAACTTCATATCGAAGTCCTCCAAGGAGGTCTCAGCTGCCGCAGTGGTCAGCTCGGATCGAAACAGTGCCGTGGCCTTGATGAGCACTAAGGGCAAGAGGCGTCTCATGCTGGAGATCTACGACTATGAGACCCCCAAATTGTGCGATCATACGGCCATCGGAAGTGGTGTGAGTGGCAGCAGTGCCCTAATGGGCGGCAATAAACAGAGACCCTGCAGTCCCTTGGAGAGCTATGTGAGCACCGGGAGAGATTTGGTAAGTAATATTTTACAGAATTATATTTTAAGGTACCTACAGTTGCGGTCAATATATGATTAGTCTATAAGAATAGGGAAATATCGATCTGAAATAGTTTAGAAGCTACTAAAATATTTTTTTTTTTATTTTCGTGAAGCTAATGTAGTTTAATGTAGTCCTTAAAAAACTAAAACAACATCACAGGGTTTTAAAGACTCACGCTGTTTACTTGATAGCTTACATTTCCTACTATTATTATTTTCACAGCAGTTGCTAGTTTTTGTCAGAGTGATTTTGTACAATTATATTTAAGAAAAACTTTATACAAAATAAATTCTTAAACACCTATTGTTTTAAACAAATCAGTTTGCTTAAACCACCCACTACTCTTTAAAATCGGGCCTATTGACCTGTAAAGCCTTTCAAAAGCAAAAGTGGAGTTTATTGACGAAAAATCTAGTAACTACATCACCTTTCAGTTTTAATTAGATATTTTACAGCTGCCCAAAAGTAGGCAACACTTCATCCTCCGCCAACGACAGTCCAATCAGAAGAGTAGCCGCCCTTCAGGCATCGTTTGGCATCACAACGAAATAAACGAAAATAAGAACTTAACCAAAGGACTTTTCTAATTTGTCAGCTAACGCTGTTTGTTCGTTCGTTGTGCACCATGGCTTAAAAAAACAGAAAACAGAAAACAGGGAAACACGACTTTGTGACTGCACCTTGGCTGCCGGGCGAATGGCAAATGCCGAGTGCCCAATTTGGCACGCCCAAGGGCTCTTACAAATAAATAAAACGCAGCTGGAGAACTGGCAGATGGGAGCTCGAGACTGTAAATTTTTTGGCAGAGTGCAGAGCGTTTTGTGTTTGCTTTAAACTTGACAAAATTAATCAAATTAAACACTCGACTGCATCGCCAGACGTGCACAAATAACGAAGGAGCAAAGCGAATTTCCCAGAGGCGGGCGCCAAATTCAAATTCAAATTCGCCGAACGTCCCGCACACAGTACACAAAGGCAAATACGTTGGGCTGCTGAAGTGGGCGGTGGTGTGGCCGTGGGCGTGGCCAGGGAGGGCGGCATTGGCGGCATGCACGGACAAACAGACAACCGCAATAAGCTTGCTTAGCCTTTTTGACGTCGCTCGTCGTTGACAAATATGAACTGCAAATATTGTGATGCCAAATTGAAGCCTCCGCGCATTGTGCATTTCTACACTAATACCAAAATCTGTAGATATTTTCTATAAAATCCATAAATCACAGCCATCTTCAAGTCATTACTTAAAAGATTATTTTTAAAAAAGCAATCAAAACATCTTAGAACACCAACTTAAATTATTATAAATTAAATTTATTCTCAAACAATAAATTAAATTTTTCATTATTACTAAAATAAATTCAAAATAATGCACAGGGCCTGGAATTAAAATACTTCTATGAAAATAATAATAATAATGAAATAAATAAATAAATTAAATTAATTATTAAAAAAAAACACCTATTTAAAATTTCTTTAATAAAAAAAAAAAAAAAATGTGTGTGTGAAAATTTAGTTATTCTAAGTGTATAACATTAATGTTAAAATTAACAGTCAAGTCTATGTTTAAATATTCACAGTTTTTTTATGTGCTTAGCAATCTTTAATATTTTCCTATTTATATTTACTATAACCAATGCTTAAGCCAACATGTTTTTAGTGCATCTCAACCATTACGCTAACCTTTTCCCTTTGCAGAAACTGGAGTTCCACACGCATACAGGCACTGCCTTATTTCCGGCCCAGTTTGCTCTAAACTATGAGTTTGTGGACACGGAACAAGGTGGCGAAACTTGGGCGGGAAGGCGCGGAGAGGATCCTGTGCCGCCGCTTTGCTCGAGAATTTTCAAGAAGCGCAAGGGCAACATCCAGGTGCCCCGGAATGTGTTCCTCTACGGACGAGGTGGTGCCAAGAACATAACCTGTCTATATCGCTTTGAAGCGGGCCCTTCGGAACGGGTAAAATTGGTCCTTCACAACGTTTCGTTTGGCGAGGGTACAGCCTGTACTACGGACTCGGATCTGCATACAGGCAGACCCCGCTGCAATCAACTGGACCCCGAGGGTCGCATCACAGAGCTCCGGCTATTCGATGTGCCATTCAGGGATGTCAAAATCCAACTGGGTTGCTTCTGCGATAACTCCAGTGCTTTATATAGCAATGCACCGCTTACCTTCGTTTCCCACTCGAGAATTATGGAGCTTTCTTTTACGGTCACGAGATTAAATATATCGGAGGACTTTGCGGATGTTTTCTTCTCGGCTTCGTATGAATTCAAAAGACAACCGGACTGCAGAAAGCAGTTGAAACTCAAGGGAGCCGGAGGGGAGGATGAACTAAAATATCCTCTTAAAACGCAGGATGCCAGTTGCGAAGGTTTGGCGTGGTACATTGAAGCCCAATCGGCTGAGAGGTCGCTTTTCGTTCAGACTTGGGGCGCCTATTTGCCCGTGGATCCCACCTCCGAAGATGCCATGAGGTGTCACACCAAGAACCGGCTGATGATATATTCGGGTCGACCTCTCCGCCCTATGAGGGTGGTGTGTCCGGCGCAAAGTGGTCCGAGGCCGATGTCGCTACACATATTCTCCGAGGACTGGACCAATGGACAGCCTTTGTTCATGAACAAGTAAGTAGAAAAATAGAATAGTTTTATTACACACAATGGTCAAGATATTAAAGAATTAATTTGGAGTATTATATAAGGGTTTTTAAATAAAAGTTCCCGGCAATCGTAAAATAATTATTTTTATTATGAACATTTTAAAAATTTGGCATTGAGTTCTATGTTGCCATGTCTTAAAAACAAAACAATTTAAAATTAATGAATTGAAAAATCAATCAGTGAAAATCTAAAATTACTCATACCCATGCAGAGGGCTATAAAATGTTTGCGAGATATTTTTGTAAGATACAGAAAAAGACATTTTCGCCTACAACGGCTAAGTCTGTTGAAAAATAAAAGTAAGCAAATAAATTACAGATGTCAATATAAAGCCTCATGTATTTGGCAGTAGTAAACGGTAAAATATTTACAATTTCACGCTCTGATGTCACCCAACCATTCTGCCCGAGCAATTACCCATTCTACACGAAAATTCTAAAAATATCCCAAACACAAATACAAGAGAGAGGACACGACTTGAAAACATTCGTGCCTAATGGCACGGTGACTCCTTTCCATTATCAAGTGCATGTGAACTAAGTCCACTCGAGCAACTGAACACTACACAGAAAACCTCTTAGCTGGAGTATTTCTGGGAATTTTTCACTCAAAATTAATTGCATTTTAATAGTTGCTAATATTTCAAAAAAAAAAAAAAAAAACTTCTGCACTTATTGCACCGGTAGCTGTTATTTCGAACTCGATGCTCTGTTCTCCAGAGCTCTATCAAAAAGTCCTGCTTAAAAATGCAATAACAGGAAATGGCTACGACGGCAACAAAATACAGGAAATTGAGCGCAAAGAAATATGCTATTTAAGAGGGACGGAAAAAATGAAAACGTAAACGAGACGAAGTCCTGGCGAACAAACATGGCCGTCAGACATGAACACATTTATACATTGAAGGTCAAATAATTAGAAGTTTTAAGATTTGAAAGAAAAAATTTCGTTCATTGTCCAAAGTTGTATTTCCATTGGGCTAATCAAAATAGTTCAAATAAAACGTTTGGTAAGAAAATTAAACCAAAAATTTCAGGTATGGTTTAATATTCTCAAGGTTATTTTTAACTTAACAGATTTTATACCCGTGTTTATTAAAGAAACCCTATATGCTCAACCTTTGCTGTTTACGTGAAGCATGCAAAACGAGACTGAAGCGAAGACAGGTGGAAAGTGGGGTGGAAAGGAGAGATACCAGTAGGTAAGGACATTCTGCCTGCTGGAACTTGGCCGTATGTGCTCGGGCAATTTATGTCCAAGGTGCGTGCCACCGAAATGAACCGTTGAACCTGGACGTTACACTCGTTTCTTGGGGCGAAAAGTCTGGGCAGTTGACCAACCTTGTGTCCCTTTTCCTGGTCCTGCATTTAACGTGTTGCCATTAAATTTTATGGTCAACTTTTTTTCCTCCCCTTTTGGCCATGTTTGCATTTTGCTCAATTTTGTCGCCGCAGAACATAAAAAAGGGAGAACGGATGGGTGGAAAAAAGAAAAGTTGGAATATTGCATTGTGGACGACATGTGAAAACATATTTTTATGGGACCCCAAAGGGTAATTGGACATTGCACTGGATATCCGAGCTGGCTAATGAGAGTGTTGAGCCTTTTTAGATAATTAATTGTGAGCTTTTCAACTCAGCTGTGAATTAAAATTGCCACACTCTAAAGCAGTGTAATATGGAAGTTGTTTTGTGAGAAAGTAAGTGGGAAGCAAATTAAATGGAGCAAAAACCTTTTAAACACGATTGCAAATATGACTAATAATTACAATAAAAAATTAATTTAATTATATGTAAAGTAACATCCGAAATTAGAATTTAAAATGTAATAGAAGGTAATAGTTAGTTAAATATATTTCGCCATTGATTTTCAGTGAATCCAATTGTGCTTTCAACTAAACTTTGTAGACTAACTCGCTTAATCCGCGACTTAAGCCAAACTCCAAAGAAGATATTTTGTCTATGGCAACTTGAAAGTTGCGACTAATTAGTTGCACTTGAACAACTACTAGGCTGTGGAGATAACAAGAAAATGGTGAGGGATATACCCAGATAGTTGCTTTAAAAGTTATTTGGAGTATGACAAACGCAAGGGAAAAGCAAAGGAAGATGCTTCAAGCATCTTGCCAAAATAATAAATATGTTGCAGACTATTTTTGCAATCAAACTTGCAATTTATATCAAGAACAAATTAAGCAGATATAAAATTTGTTTTATCTCTTGAGACAAAAAATCAGATATCCAAGTATCACACACTAAATATAACATAACAATATTGCAAGAACACTAAGAACTTAAATCTTCCCGTATGCTTAAATAATTTTGTCATGCATTATATATTAGTTCCACAAGTTTCTTTTTAGGAAAAATGGTTTTCTTAATTGTTATTAAGCATCAGATTTAAAAAACAAAGCCTTTAAAAGTCTTTATATGTTATAATTTAAAAAAAAAATAAATTAAATAAATTAAAATAAGAGTTTAAATAGATTTTGTTTGTAACAGTTATCTTACCACTTCGATTTCAATCTGTGCTTTTTCCAGACCAATCAGCCTGGTGCTGGAGCCCATCCTGAAGGAGCCCGGCGACATATCCTTCACGTGGCTGGAGATCCATCGCACTAAGAACGCCCTGCTGCAGCAGTTGGACCTGCATGTGAATGCGAGCGTGACCACGGGCATGGGCTCCCAGACCTCCTCGCAATCCTCCCCGGGATCCAATACGGGGATTGGGGGGCTGGGCGGCACAGGATCTGCTGCCAATGCCGGAGGCTCTGCAGGCGGAACCACTGCCAACGAGACGCTGAACGAATTCGGCTTCTTTCCCAAGGAGTCGGACTGCGAATACAAATGTCCTGAAATTGATGCATGCATTGCGGCCAGCCTGTGGTGTGATGGTAAGTACAGATTGCCAGTTGGACCACAGAGGGTTGCCGAATTGGTTTTTGCATAAGACCACTGAATATAAAATAGTTTAAAGAAGTCGACGTGTCCAAAAAAATTCAATGAGCTTAAGAACATGGGTCAAAAGAAAACTACTTTTAAAATGAGTACAACAGACTATTTCAAGCACAACAAATTTGGAAACATTAAATTATTAGTTGCTAAAATTAAAATGTAATATTTAAAAACCTCACTTTGTTTTATATTTAGATAAAAAAATAATGGTTTTCACTCTTAATAATAACATTTAATTTAAAATTGTTTTTAATAAACTTTAACTATATATATTGAAACACAATTTCTGTATTCAATAGCCTGACTTAGTAGTCTGTGTTTAGTAGTCTAAGGAAGAGTCCTTGATCTCCCCTCTTGGCCTAGATTTTTGCAATATTTGAACGTGATTTGGCACTAGTTCTTGGGCTTAGGGGGCTATCCACTTGCAGCGTGCGCTCGGCAGTAGGCAACCGAAATTTCACTTGTGGCTGGCTTGTCTGTTAATTTCAAGGCAAGCTGTCCACGTTTTTGTAATCAGGCAAAGTTTCCTGACAACTGCACACAGGCTTCACCACTCCTGCTGGTTGTTAGTTGCTTCGTTGGTCGGTTGTCGTTGTCGTTGGCGGCGGTTGTTGGGATTGTTGTTGGCCGTTGCAGCAGCAAAACCCCTAAATGTCTTTCGCAAAAAGTTTGTCCCAGTCCGCTAGCAGTCCAACCCAAATGGCCGCAACAGCTGTGCGAAACTTATTTGCAATGCACTTGAGAGATGAAGAGCAGAAAAAATTAGGAGAAATTTGACAAGTTTATAGGCTTTGAGATACCCTGCTTAAAAAGAATCCGGTCTTTTATGATAAACATTTCTACATTTTTCTGGATTTTACTTAGTTCTCAAATACCACATTAATATTACTAAAATTTAATATTATAAGATACTGGATACTCGCATTTTGAACTGTTTTCCATGACAATTAATTCAAAATATTATTTAGTAAAAATATTCCAGCTAAAATATATTATGGAAATTTAAAAGGTTTAAAAACAAATCAAATCCATATTAAATGGTTAAAAAATCATTGCATTTTACTTATACTTTTCCAGCCGAATAGACCCTTTAAACCGTACGCTCGGTGGAAAAAATACAAAGGCCAGACCGGACTTTGCGTTTGCCTTTTTAGCTTCAATTATTTATGGGCAACCAGGCGCGTCTGCATCTGGAGCAGGTTAACCGCAAAAGCCAGGGCATTAAACAAGCTTTCGGACCCCACGGGCCACTCAAGTGACACTGCATTCAATTTGTAACCTTAGAGTAGGCCACCCAGCAGCGCTGCTCCCTCCCCAAAAACCCAATCTACTTTCAATTTTTCAATCAGTGCCCGACTCTGCCTCTATCTCGGTTACTGAATCTCTTCTTGCACCACGAGAAACATTCCACCCAAAGGCAAATATGTTTAGTTGGGAATATGATACCTTAAAGTTAGTCCAATTCAAAAGGTACATAAAAAACTGGAATTGTTTTATAAATCTTATAGGAAGATAAATAACTTAATATTATTTTATTTTTTTTAATTGGAACATTTGTAACAAGAATGTTAAGCTTAAATATATTATATATATATATATTGCTAAGTCAAGTCATGCTTTTATTTATGAGAAGGTATATAAAACAGATTGTATTTCAAAAACTGAAGGTGAAACAAGTTGGATTAGTTTACAAGGTTCAGTTATACGAACTCAATTGGTAATGATTTTCGAATAAATGTTTTGTTTTGTTGCAAGAATTTGTAAACTTCTGTTTTGAATAATAACCTTTGACCTTTTTTCTATTTTTCAGGTCACCACAACTGTCCCAGCGGTTTCGACGAGTCGGAGGAGGAGTGCGGCACCGCTCGCAAGCTGCTGGAATTGCCGGGCGGCGTTTTCGCCGCTTTGGGCTGCATCGCGGCCGCCCTCACCGCCTGCCTCATATTCTGCATGTTCGGACTGATGAGGAAGCGGAAAAAGTCGGTGGTGCAGAAGGGCGCTGGGGTGGGCGGCATGGGCGTGGGCGGAGTGGGCGGCATGGGCGGAATGGGCGGCGTGGGCATTGGGTTCATGAACGGAGCGAGCAATGGCAACGTATCCGCCGCCAGCATCGGCACCTTGAAGAAGGACTTCAAGAAGGAGGCGCTCTACATCGATCCGGCCTCCTGACACGGACTCCAGCCGGTCGAGTATATCCACGTCGATCGGGAGACCACCGTGTGATATGTTGCCGCCGGCTGTGGCATTACCTACGACTATGACTATGATCATGTGGAGCTTTCCATGGAGCTGGCCTGACCGATGGATCGGCCCGCTGATCCCGTTCAAAATCTGGCCTGGAGATTTTAAAGATACAGAGTCGACTCGACTGGAGGTAGGAGAACACTAAATGAAACTACATTTTAAGCTGATAACTTTTTCTAAACGCTTCTGGGAGTAACAAAATGAGCAGAAACAAAAATGTGTGTATGTAGTCATAAGGAAAATGATATTAAACTTATTATTACCTAAAATAATTTAGCTTTTTTTCAAATTTTTAATTTTTTTTCTTGTGTTTTCTTTCCTAATTAACTAGTCTGTATAAAGGTTTTCTTTTAAACTTGATTTTAAAAAGAAGTCAAGGCTGAAAATTATGATTACTTTTAAAATGTTAATGAAAATAAATAATAAAGAAGGTGGTACTTGTATATTTTTGTATTATCAATTATATTATGTGTCTAATAAATAAAAATAAAATTTCACCTATCAAAATATAAATTTTTAATTTCAATCATTTTAACATATTTAATATAACATAAAACTCTTCAGAGGTTTCCAACACAAAACCAATATTTTCCTTTTTTACAAAGCTTACTTAACAATAAAAAAAGTAAATGTTTAAAAAAAATCTCAATCGTTTTTGAATACATTTACTGATTAAAAAAAAGGTATTTTTATACGACAGCCACTTTTGACTTCAATATAATTTATTATGATCCAACGATTTTTTTATTTAGACTACATACGGCAAGCAAAAAGAGAAAATAAAACTATTGTAAATTAGGTACCTTTAAAACAGTTAGATCAGCTAGAGAGCAAACAATTTGTGGGCAGTTCGTAGATGCCTTTGGCATATTTACCACATAGCACATAGCACCCATTAAAAGGAAGTAAACAAATTACATTTAGACACTAAATGGAAGAGATCATGAACTACAATGAAATTGTATAGAAGAGCAACTCCAAGAGCAGATCCCTATGCGTAGGGCCTCTCTGGCATTAACTTTTAAGCAATTAGACTAGGTATAAAAACTGTTAGCAGCATTTGAAAAGAAGTTGGGGAAAGTCGAAGGGAATCTCTAAAGTGTTGTGATCTAAGGCATGCACATACTGAACTATGTTTAAACTCAAGCAAATCGAAGCATTTACATGATTAATACTCACAACCGAAGGCGCGGTACGATATATACATATATTTGTATAGGAATTATCTATATAGTCTATTAAGATGGCAGCACTTTTGGGTTTTTATCGTACAGCACAAACACATTAGCAAAGAGCATCACTTAGTGGTTTATTATCTATACAAGTCGATACAAAGGGTTAATAAAATGCAATTGTTATTAATGAATTAAGTAGAACTCCAAACCAGAGATTTGTTCACTTTTCATCTTAATCGAGAGAACTGCCAAAAGAATACAAAACACAAGCCAATCAAATGTAAATATTTCTGTCGAGCAATTACTTGTTTAATGTCAGCATTTATGTTCGTAAATTGAACACAAATTGTTTCCCATAAGTAGCTGCAGTAAGTAATATTCCTAAAGTTACATAGACTTTGTAAAAACTACAAGCAAAGCGTAATAATAAACTGTATGCAAATCTACCATTTAAGACACGCCCCATAACCCACATAAACAATCAAATTTTTGGCAGTTGCAGTAGGATTAAGCAAACACCAAACGAAAGAAAAGCGTAAAAAACAAGACATAAGTACTTTATTTTATAGACACCAAAACTAGGACAAAAATTATAATACTGAAAAAAGACAATTCAACTGGCTGCAATGGAAATTTTAAAAATTTAAGAACCTATGCCATCTGCATGCCGCATCCACACCCATAAAAACCTATTAATATTTCAACTCCAATAAAACTGTACCGAAAAGCATGTGTGTAAAAAAAATATATATATGATTTAGCCAGCATAAAAAAGTAAAAGGAAAACGATATATACATAAATTAAATCAAATATTTTCGGTTGGCATTTTTTGATAGCAAATAACCTAAATATTTATAGCCGAAAAAGAAGTAAAACAAATAACGGAACGCACTTTGTACAATTTAATGAAAAATAAAGAATTATTATTTCCAGACACACACCACACACACCACACATATAGGATATTTTACACCCATTCAAATAAGAGATAAAATAATACTGAAATATATATAAAATCGAAAACAAATTAAATTAATTAATTAAGAACGGCGCCTAGGCCAAAAATGCATTTTGGCTGCCGGCAATTGAGGAAAAAACCAAAATATTGAAAGTATGGTTGGCAGTGCATTTAAATAAGTAGCTTTAAGACCAGCTGGACTTGGATCGATCCGAGCTGCAACTACTTCGTTGGCCACCATTGTCACACACAAAAATAAACTCACATCTCAATCATCAGTTCGGTTCAGTTCCTTCTCTCTACCAAACCAAACCAAACTATGGAAATTTCTGTGCCAACTGTGTTTAAAGTAGAATTCAAAGATAAAATACAAATAAAAAACGGGGGCGAACGAAGAAATTGAATTATGACCGCGCATAAAACATTGCATGTAATTTATTTGAAATGTTCGAAAATAAAGTAGACGAAAAAGAAAAGATAACTCTGCGCGCCATGGAAAATTATAATAAAAAAAAATCAGACAGCTGTGTAAATAGTCAAACTGCGTACAGTCTACGCATATTTAATTAAAAAACTCAAAATAGAAACGCAATGAGTTGAATTAAGCGAAAGGAGATCACGTCTTATGTTCAGTTTTTGACTTCCCCGTACATTTTTTGTTGCCGTTTGATAGCGTAAGTTTCACTTGTATGATAAATAAAACTAAACCAAATATTTATATAGAGATATTATACGTATATGAAAAAAGGAAAACCTTAAAATAATGACGCACTGAATCAAATAGATGAAACGAGTATTTAAAAACCAAGACAATTAAAACAAAAAAAAGAACTTTAAGCAAAAATAAAACTGAAGAAAAAAATGAAAATTAAAACGGCGCACCTGTCTTCATTAGCCCAATTTTTGGGGCTGTGGGTGGATGGGTGAATGGATGATTTGGGGGCATTTGTGGCCGGAATGCCAACTGTTCCGTTTGACGCTTGGGGGAAAACCGTTGGCTAACTAAGGCAAACTCAAACTCGTGTCCAAATAGCTGGCAGTCAAGTAGGCCACAGATTTTGATTGCCCGCATCCGGGCGACCATCGGTGGACATCCTGGAAAATTCGGAACATTGAACGAGATGGTGTTAAAGCCAAGCCGACTGCCTCAGGCGTGGGTTCTCACCGGTCGGAATTGGGATTGGCATTGGCACTGGGTTTTTGGTTTGGGAGCCTTCCCACGTTAACCCGCATAAAACATAAGCCACCGAGAGCCTGCTGCTCGTGTTGTGTGCTGCCTATACGCCAGATTCCCCCTGTTCTGTGACTCTGTGTTTACGGCCGGCAGCTCTGTTTCTGGCCCTGGCAACTCTGGCCCCCGGACTTGGCCAAAATGGCTATGATAAGCGTAGGCGACAGAAAGCGCTAACGAGGTGTGGTCCAAAAATATTCATAAAGATATTGTATTGAATTTTATATCAAGGTAAGAATTGAAATACAAAATAATAATAATAATAAAATAAAATATCATATGTTCATATGTTGTGAAAACATTACAATATAATAAAAATAATAATTTTATTATTGATAAATGATTTGAGATAGTAAAATTTCGATGCTTAAAATATAAAATATAGATACTTATAGGCAGATATTTGTTTTTTAACGTGTTAAATATTTATATAAAATAGTTGAAAAAAGAAAATTTATTAAGAAGTATAACTTTTTTAGTTTCTTGCCAAATTCTGGACGTAGTCATTAAATAAAGAAATAATATTTAAAAAATGAATATTGTTACTTAAGCTATAAATAATTTACCTTGGATTTATGTTTTAAGTTTAAGTGATCACTAACTGTCCTGGACACCCTCGCTATGTAAAATGTTCTCTCAAACGACGGGCAAATATAATATATACGCACACCTGCCACAAACACACACAATCGCCCATTTAAATTTGCACCTAGGGCCAATTGCAGTTGTTTACAATTGAGTGGCTAGCTCAGCACAATCGGCACAACAACAAACGAGCAGTTGGCAGCAGAAAAAAACGAAAACATCAGAGCAAAGATATAGCCAACTTTTGGTGAACAATGAGCAACCACAATGGGACAGCAAATAAACTTAACCCGAAAACTGACAGTCAAACAAGTCCTCACCTTTTATGTTTAAAAATTGGAGAAAGAGTCTGATTACTTGGATATGATATTTATTTCAATTGATTTGAACAATCATCGAATGCAACCGGCTAACACCTTTTCAGCAACTTACTTTTCATTTTTTAATACTATTTACTTTCTTGGTGCCAATTACAGTAGTTACTTAAATAATTACCATACAAAATAAAGGCATGTGCCGCCAACACTTTTTTTTGCTCAACATTATTATCATATCTGTCTGTTTTTATGTTGAGGCTGGCATTTTTTCATTTTTTGCCATTGTTATCGAGAAATTTACACGAATTTTCAGCTTGTTGCTGAAATAAAAAAAGGTTAGTAAGTTTAAACAATCAGTTTTTTGTCGTTTTTAAAAAAATGTGCACCTAGGCAGATAGTTGTGGGTAAACGCTTAAATCTGGCAGCCGTCAGACGCCAGTCAGTGGACAAGTAAGGTACAGTGGGAGAAGAAAGTATGTGTGCCACAAAAAATCATTTAAATTATATTAATCATTAAATAATTTAATTATTAAATTGCAAAAAAAAGACTTTTTAATTAAACAGATCATTAAAGGATTTGTGTATTATTATTTCAGATGTTCGAAGTCAAGAAAGCATTTAATTAATAAACTTGCTTGTCCTTCAGCTTTCCGGAAATTATACATACTTTTTAACTATGCTAGAAAGTGTATTAAGTTTATAATCAGAAATCCATTATTTTTTGTTAAGTAAATCATTGTTGAATAATTAATATCTCATGAATGTCTATATAAAAGACTTATTTTAGCCACTGTATCTACAGACGATTGAGGGTCATTGAGCTTTGCGGACAGCAAGTGCGGAAACTGACGGAACCCAAGTCTTAAAGAAATTTCAAAATTCACTCTGGCCAAAATTATACATAGAACCAGAGTTAGCAAACGAACGATGCGAGAAGCCAAAAAATGGAAAAAAATCTTTTATTTATGCACGACTGGCAAAAACTAATCGATGGAAATTACAAAAGCGGGAAGGTCAACTTTTCGACTGCCCATTAAGGGGGGAGAAGTTCAAAGGTAAACCTGTTTTAAATTCTAATTATCTTCCTCTAAAAAGAGTAAAGACATGCTGAACTGATCTTCTAGTTCTTTTTTTATTGCCAACGTGGTTTGGATCACACGAAATGTATATCTTTTTTCGAGTAACAAATTATTATTTAGGTTG